GATAGTTGTAGCCTGGGTCCCCTTGCTGAGCCTTCGGGTCCCCTCTACACTGTCACTGACAGCCTGGAGCTCTGAGCATATAAAAGTCTGATAGTAAGAAAGACATGTTATTTCAACAACATATTCTCGTCAGTTGCTTGCAACTACTTCAGACTAAGCTTGCGTTCATCAATTACCCATCATGTCAGCACCTAGTAAGATATCCTTACCTTATACATACTATCTTAATAAACTGACTTTGTGGATTTCAATAATAGGAGGCGTTACAATAGACGTCCTCAAGACATTGCATGCCCTTTGTAGAGTTGCTGGTATTCGCTATGCTATTCTAGGGGGAGCTGCCTGTATGGCCTTGGGAAGTACTCGTGCCACCCAAGATGTGGACATAGTGGTTGCAACTGGCCCCGAGAGTGGTCAAGACATAGACTCGAAAATCCGCACCCTTGTTGGACTGTCTGGAGGTCGCTTCTCAGCCCATACTGACCAGTATGGAATACCGCACTTTCGACTTGATGGTATTGAGGTTGAAATATTTGATCCTACTGTGTGGCCCCACCGGCCTCAATACCGTCAATTTCTGAGCAATAACGGCTCTATATACATTGGGGATAAAGACGAAGGATATGTTGTTGTTGCACCACCATTGTTATTGCGCGAGAAGTTGATCACTTTCGGGGAACGCAAGAATAGGCCCAGCTCAGATTTGCAGGATATTCAATTTCTGATGTGGTACTGCAGCGGGTTTGGATACACTATTGACTTGAGGGGTAATGATACAATCAGCGCTAGTGCTCGGGCAGGTTTGTTGGAGTTTGCTAATACAGGTGGACAGGTATATCCAGGCGTCGTGATTCAGTAGCTACGGTCTGTCTACATTATAACCAGTTGTTACATTTGTCAATAAGATGATTACTGTAAGAAAACCCAGCATTTCCCTTAGAATTTCAGAACATAAGTAAATAGAATTGACAGAACACGAGAAATGTGTATTTCGTTGACTGCCCACCAACGTCCCAACTCCACTCAAGCGCCAATATGCACAAGATTAACCCATCGTTCGACCGCAACCCCAGCCCGTGACTTCAACACCAAAGCCGCTTTGCGAAGTCCCGCTGCCGCCCTCTTATACTTAGCTTCTCCCTCCTCACAGTCATACATATACTCATAGACTGTCCTGGCAAAATGCGGGCCATCAGTATCAAGTAGCTCCCACATTGAACCTATCACGCTTCGGAACCCAGAAAATTGTATCGCTGCGGCGAGGTGAAGAACCTCATCGTGTGCACCACTGTAAGGTTGCTGTGCAGTATGACAAGCGGAAAGAAAAGCGAACTCCGCGTCGGGCAGACTAGCTTTAACTATATCGAGTACTGTTAGCCCGCCATCTGATAGATTGAACGAGGAGTTGAAGGCTTTCGAGCCTAAGTATCCATGGCAAACGAAATGGACCCAAGTTGCTTCCTGGATGGCTTTGGTCACTGCAGTACGAGACGCTTTCTTGCCGACGAGCAATTTGGTGCTCACACCACAGTTCCGTATATTGCTAATTTCCTGTTTAGCTGATCCAAGTGACATATCCCCAATGACAAGCACTAACGGATCTTCCTCTGCGCCGCCAGACCGTGCATTGATGAGGGCCCCGAGAGTTGGTGTATATGACGAGACATAATCATTCAATAAGTATTTCTCGGTACCATCTGCACCCTTGAATGGTCCCGCTGCATGGAACGGAAACGCAGATAGCACGGACGTAGGACACCACCAGATGCGGGAACCTTTGTTAACTCCAAGTTCTTCAAGTTTATCAACGGTTTTAGAAACAGCTCTATTCCACAACATCTCCATCGCTGCGCAAAGCTTTTCGTTATACTTGGGTGAAGCAGCTCCAAAGCTTACGCGTGTCTCCGAGAGCTCGTTGTATAGTTTAATACTATCCGCATAGAATCTTTCGTCCAACGGCACATTAACAACCGGCAAGTCTTCACGGGGGAGAATAATGAGGGCATCACAACGATATTCGCTATGGTTGACCACGATGATCGGACCTTCCGATGCTGCCCGCTGCAGTACCGTGAACGGCGTAGCGTCAAGGAAACTCTCGAACCCTGGAACTCGTCGAATCTCGTGAATGACCTCCTCCTGTTCTTCGGAAAGTTGTTTCTTAGTCCTCAGCAACTCGTCAAATGCGCTCCGCTTCAATTGCACGTCCAGAATCATGGACCCGCCTTCTTTCTCCGTCGAATCGGATCCTAGTGCCCCATGTAACGTTGCGAGGTTCTCCAGTCGACGGCTGACGTTTTTGAATCTGTCTACAAGTTCGCTGTTTGTCTCTGCTAGTTGATCCAGAGGAGACCTAAAACCGCGTAACTGCGACCAGAGCAAACCCCTTCCTTGCTCAAGTATCTCAATCGCTGGCTTCAGCTCATTTTTCTCTATTGCGTAGGAAGCCGCCTCCATTGTGAGTATACTATAACGTCCATTCGTAATGAGGAATTCATATTGTTCGTGGAGAGTTGGACTTATGGTGAGTGCGTGCTGAAGTACCGATATTGTCGCTTTATAGGCCAAGAGAGCGGTCCAGTGATCGTACAATCGCGCTAGCTCCGCCCATCGACAGGCAGCACTGAGGCGCACCGTTAATCCCGAGAATTTGTGGTTAGCAGCGCGCTGCAGTAATTGCATGCATTCGGCAAACTCATCCACATCCCACTGTTGCTTGATTCGAGCATATATGGAATCTGCAAGTTTATATAGGGAAGCACAACGGTCTGGATGGCCTTCAGGGCGAAGTTCCAGTGCGTGACGGTGCAATTCAATAGCCTCGCCGATATCCTTTTCTAGCCCATGCTGCTCAAACCGAACTGTCATGGAATTTGCAAGATTGTACAGAGACATGGAATGATATGGATGGCCATCGGAGCGAAGTTCTAGGCCGGCACGGTACAGCTCGATAGCTGCTTCAAGATCTCCTATCGATCCACGCCGCTCGAAGCGTATTAATAAGGACGTCGCGAGGTTGTCTAGAGCTGCAGAACGATCAGGATGACCACTGGGGCGAAGTTCCAGAACGGTAAAGCGTAATTCGATAATTTCGTCAAGATCCTCTGTCCGTTCATGAAGATGGAATCGTATTTGTAATGAAGTTGCAAGGCTGTTTAAAGATGAGGATCGAAGAGGATGTCCCTCTGGGCGAAGTTCCAAGGCAGCACGGTGTAACTCGATGGATTCGTCGAGGTCCTCCCTACGCCCGTGCTGGGAGAAACGAGTCCTTACGGCATTCGCAAGGTTGTTTAGAGAAGAAGAACGCTGTAGATGGCCTTCGGGTAAAAGTTCCAAATTGGTGCGGAACAATTTAATGGCTTCGTCGAGATCTTCTGATCGTCCGTACTGCTCAAATCGGATCTTTATAGAATTTCCGAAGTTGTTTAGATATACAAAGCGCTCTGGATGATCTTGAGACAGAAGATCCAGAGCAGTACGGTGCAGCTGAACAGCTTTATCAAGATCGTCTCTCCGTCCATAATAATTGAATCGAGTTTCCAGCGCATTAGCAAGGTTGCTTAGAGAAGCAGGACGATCCGGATGGCCATCAGGACGAAGATCCAGGACAACGCGGTGTAATTTGACAGCTTCATCAACGTCCTCTTTCTGTCCATACTGCTCAAATCGAATTTTTATGGAATTTGCAAGATTGTGAAGGGACAACTGTTTAAGAGGATGGCCTTCGGGGTAAAGTTCTAGGGCGGTACGATGAAGCTCGATGGCTTCATCAAGATCCTCCAACCGTCCATATTGTTCAAATCGAGATCGTAGTGCACCAGCAAGGTTGTTCAGGAATACATAACGTTCTGGATGATCCCTAGGGAGAAGGTCAAGAGCGGCGTGATGCAGCTCGATGGCTTCATCAAGGTCCTCCTTCCGTCCACGCTGATCGAATCGTGTTTTTATAGAATTTGCGAGATTGTTTAAAGATGCGGAATGATATGGATGTCCTTTAGGGCGAAGTTCCAGAGCAGCACGATGTGACTCGATAGCCTCGTCAAGGTCTTGTGCCCGACCATGATACTCGAATCGAACTTGCAAGGAAGCTGCGAGATTGTTTAGAGCAATACAGCGATTCGGATAACCTTCGGGGCGAAGTTCTAGGACAGCACGGCGCAACTCAATGGCTTCATCAAGATCCCCTACCCGCCTATGATGCTTGAATTGGTTTATCATAGAGGAAGCGAGATTATTTAACGACTGGCAATGGTCTGGGTGGCCTCTCGGGCGAAGTTCCAAAGCGGCACGATGCAACTCAATGGCTTTATCAAGGTCTAATGTCCGTCCGTGCCGCTCGAATCGAGTTTGCAACACAATTGCAAGATTGTTCAGGGACGAAGGACGAGCTGGATGGCCGTTCGGATGAAGATCTAATGCGGCACCATACATCTCAATGGCTTTATCAAGGTCCTCTGGCCGCCCATACTGCTCGAATCGAAGTCTCAAGCAACTAGCAAGGTTATTTAGAGACAGAGAACGATCCGGATGGCCTTCGGAGCAAAGTTCAAGGGCAGCAGAGTTCAACCAGATGGCCTTGTCCAGGTCCTCAGTCCGTCCACGCTGCATGAATCGAGCTTCGACAGAAATTGCAAGCATATTTAAAGTTGCATGGCGATCTGGATGGCCTTCAGGGCGAAATTGCAGAACGAGTTTGTACAATTCGATGACTTCTTCTAAATCTTCTATCTGTCCCCATCGATCGTATCGTGCACGAAGTGATATTGCAAGATTCCACAGCGATTGGGAATGGTCAGTATGTCCCTCGGGACGAAGATTCAGAGCAGTGCGATCGTGATCGATGGATTTATCGAGCTCTTCTTTTTGACCTGTTTTCTCGAAGCGTAACCAGTGTTCAAGAGCAAGGTTGTGATGTGTCTGACGTTCACCAGGGACTGGGAACCTAGTCAAGATACTGCTCAGCGTAGCAGATAGAAAACAACATACCTGACTCAGGTGGACCATCTAGAACTGTTGTCCCGCCTTCGGAGCACAGTACTGGCGACATCTGTTCGCTGCACTCACTAGCCATGCTGGCGACACGTTGACGATGGCAAGAGGGCTTGAGGCAAAACTAGTGCTGCGATTTTTGCGGACATTATATAATTCCTATTGACATTTCGTGCAATAAGTAATAGGACATATTTCCAAACTTTTCCGTTATCCAGTGACATAATTTGCAAGGGGGCAAGCAGCAAACAAGAAACGCATATGCGAGTGGCAAGCTTTGTTATCGTCTTACTTCGAGAAGTGAAAGTTCGCGGATGTATTTTCCAGAACTTATTGAAGACGTCATCCGATTTGCTTACATAATCGAATAGATTTGAGGACCGGACCGGTGCTGGTATTCTATCCTTTGATCGACGACGACCACGAACGAGAAGACACGGGCTCAACTGCGAACGAGACGCCAGGTGTTGATTACAATCGTCTAATTAGTACCGCCTCTGCCACTCCACTGAGGTCACTCTGATTAAGCACGTGCATCCATATTCCACCGATTTACGCCTCTCCAAAATCCGATAAAATCCCTCTCGCCACCCTAGACACTATGGACTCCGGTTCAAGTGTCACTGCTGACCCCATCCATCATCGCGACCATAAGAAAATGCTTCATACAAGGCGCAACCTAACTGCTGGCAAGCATTCGCCCTCTGTCGACTCTCCCGCGTACGATGCGTAAGTTGCTTTGTGTTTCGTATATAAGTAGCACAAAATGTCTGAGTATCTATGACAGGTCAGAAGAGGATAACGATCCGATGACAGACGATGCCGCATCGACCATATCCCTCAACGTCTCGCGCAATCAGCAGATTCCGTCTTCCCCACTCGCCAACACGCGGGGCGGGGCGCGTCAAGCAGCGCCATCGCGAACGCGACATAATCACCTCTCGGGTGTCATTTCTTCAGACGATGGTGTCGACTCTCCTACGTACGATGGAGATATCGAGACGAGCACGAGTGTCCGCACTGTACACCATTCACATCCCCACTCGAGTCTCGAATCCGGGCACTCATCCGCATCCGCTTCCGTATCTACCCTCACATCTCCGACATCTGCGCACTTCCCTGGTGTCACTGCCGCAGAAGCAAGGGGCCAAATTATCACTCCCGCTGTCACCGTTACTGCTGCTTCTCGTCAGAATTCGGGTACGACTTCGGGTCGTCCGCAACAGAGTCAGCCTGTGAACGTCGCAGCTGTCCCGTTAAGGGCCTCAGAGGAGCCTCCACCTGTGCCCGTTGCCGCAGCAGAATTCGATCCTGCGAAGCTGACCATTGAGGACATCCAGGAATTTGTGAGGAAAGCTATTGCTGGTGATCCGACTGAGGCTGGGCTGAAGAGGCCGTACAAAATTAATCCCCCTCCAACTGGGAGGCCTGTTCGCGTATATGCTGATGGTAAGCTACTCAATTTAACCGATAAAAATAAGCACTCATGCGTTTTTTAATATTTTGTAGGTGTTTATGATCTATTTCATTTTGGGTGAGTTATATCGCTTCACAGTAACAATATGTCTTCATGATTCTCATGCTTCGATTCTTCAAGTCACGCATTACAACTCCGACAAGGAAAACATGCATTTCCTTCCGTGTACCTTCTCGTTGGTGTCAACTCAGATGAGCTTGTACAAAAGCACAAGTCCCGCACGGTCATGACCCATGCAGAAAGGTACGCTCCATGTCTTCCCATTACCCGATTGATAGAAAACAACAAATCGGAGTATCTCATCCTCGGTTTACTCATTCCTTCCCCTTTTTTTCTCTCGTACAGATGCGAAGCAGTCCGACATTGCAGATGGGTAGACGAAGTTGTTCAAGACGCACCATGGATCATCGACGCTGCCTTTCTCGACAAATGGGAAATCGATTACGTCGCACATGACGAAGATCCGTACGCCGCACCAGGACACGACGATGTCTACGGGTACGTCAAGTCACTCGGGAAGTTCCTCCCTACGCGTCGCACGCCTGGAGTATCGACAAGCGAACTTCTCGAACGGATCGTATCTGGGTACCGAAAGCGCGAGTTTGACGCGAAGCTGGAGAAAATTGGCGCGGGGGAGTTGAAAGCGGAAGGATCGGATTTTGATGATAGCCCTGCTGGATCGAGACCGCCTTCTCGTGCCGCGCGTGCAGTGAAGCTACCATCTACTGTTGTGCATGCTGCTCCGCCTGCGACGAGATAGTTCTTGACAAATTTTACTTACATTTGGGTTGGGTCTTTGTCAATTCGCGCTTTCGTCCTCCTCGCTTTCGACCGCCACTTAGCTGTGTTGTTGTTCCTTTTTGATGATCGCTTCAATCAGTACTCATGGTGGGAATACAAGATTCCGTAACGCATGAAGTCTTTATCTCTATGTTGTTATTCTTGCTAATAAAATATGCTTGCACTTTATATGACTGAAGGCTGGAGACTGAAGACTGCATTACAATAATCAGTTTTAATAGGCTTTCCGCCTTTGCGATGGCACGGCTATGGATTACTTCAGACCACTGATCCAGCATCCAGATAGGAAGTACACACCAGTTCTCCGAGTCAGCCCAACAAATATACTTTTTTTCTATTAGTATGTTGTCAAACCTCATTCATTCTGTTCTTTGATTCTCTCTAGGTTGGGTATACATTTACAGTAGGTCATATTTAATCAATTTTCACAGTGCATTTGTAAAGAGAATCTCTGGAAGGTTGAAGGTAAATTTTTACAATTAAGCAAGAAAGTCCAAAAGTATTTATAAGTATGGACTCTGAGATTGAACACTGTCTATCAAGGTTATAGCCAGTTGTCTGGTGAGAATGTGCCCACAAAATAACTAATCAATACATTTACAGCAAATAAACTCTTGAACAGAAGGCTTGAATAACCTTTTTTAAAGTTGTGATTGTACATGTAAATAACAGATTATGTCAGAATGCCAGATACATACATAATTGTGTAATGAGACAATTATCCCTGACTGACAAAATAAAATAAAGAAATGAGAAGGATGATATTCAACTGTGGAAAAGGTTTGGGGAAACTGTGCTTTGTAGCAGTATTCAATATTATATTGACCTCTTTTATTATATTGATCTCTGATATTGAGCATGCACTGGCAAATAGATACTAGAGTATATATATTATTTTGAAACACAATTTATTGACTTGGCATGAGAGCTTCAAGAAGGCAACCCAAAACAACAAACAATACAGAATGTAGCAACAAAATGATCTCACAAAGGTAATCGATGAAAATTATACACAGAATATGAAGCCTGGAGTAGAGTTTGCTACATATCGATGTCTGGCCAGAAGCGACCTGGTCCAAGAGGTACGACCTCAGCAGCAGCAGAAAACACATAAATACGAAAGTCGTTAAGCACCCACTGTATCTGCCTATCGCTCATTCCCAGGTTCTCTTCCACAATTTTGTTTCTCCTCGTCAAAACGTTTTCGCGTGATTTGAACATCATTAACATAGCTTTGACGCATTCGAATGCATCTGTATCGTCCCACATATAGAGCCCGTGGAGACGAAGTGACAGGAGGGCGGGGCACAAATTGCTTCTACTTGTATCTACTGTCCCTGCAGCTGTGCTTGTATCTGTCGTCAAAGCAAGTGCTTGAAAGAATTTCGCTGATACTCTGGTATTCTCGAGAGATAGAACCTGAAGGGTAGGCAGGAGGTGTAAAGCAGGGATCAGGGTGTCCTCGTCCTCGGAAAATAAACGCAAATGGGTTAACGGAGGCATTGAACGTCTCGTGAAGTCCAGAAATCCCACTTCCGTCCACAACGTGAAAGGACGCCCGCAACGCAATATTTTGAGAGAGGGGAGAGTCAGCTTATTAATTATCTGATTAGAGCCTTCGGGGGGAAGCATAAGAGCTTTCAGATTACTTGTTGTCATCTCTGTCTCTACCTCTTTATCCAGTGTAGCCCTGTACATAAAGCGGATCGCTGTCATGCAAGGAGTGGCTTTCAACAAATCAAGGCAGAGTCGGGTAGCATTATGTAACGAATATCTCGTGCGTAACAACGACCTGCTTGCTTCGCTTAGATTTTGTCCTGCGCCATCACTTGTCTCGAGGTCAAAGGCATCGCCTACTTGTAGATGCTTGAGAAGCGGCGACTCCCCAACGCAAACAGTACACATTTTTTGGTATCCCGAAAATATGACATCCAGAGCCAATGATGTTAGCATAGGCATGTCAATTGCGTTTATCCCCGCAAACTCAGAAGAAGGTAATAAACCAAAACAGCGGAGAACTACGTCTCTCCATCGGCGCTGGTGAGCAAGGAAAGTTGTGACGACATACTCCGACATGCGATGGATTCTGTCATCGTCTGTTTTCCGGAGAGCGAAGTAGATCATAAAGTTGAGAGCTGATCCATTCGTTCTTTGGAGCCACGTATCGAATACCTCCACCATCGCCTCCCATTCCTTCGACTTGTAGCGATCAGTGAACTTAATTGAAAGATGGGACCACAGTGCGCCAGAAGAGAGCGAGACGCCACGCCAAGATCGACAGACATGGGAAATGTACATTGGAGAGCAGATAGAAAACGAAAGAGGACGGTCTGGACGATCGTGTATTGCGGGCCTAATCGGAAGCGTTATCAAGAAAATCCTGTGAAGGATTTCAGGAGGTAATGCGTCTATGGTGGACCATTTCATGAAGGGCCTTTATGCACGAATCTGGCTAGCCTACGATACGAGTGCACCTGAAGTAGAGGAACCTGGTATAGGGAGAAAGACCTGTTCTGGTCTGTCACAAGCATAGAACTTTGGTCACGTTATAAGTGATATAATTTTTGGAGCGGAGATGGATATTTCTTGACTCGAGTCTCCGACCCTCAGAAATCACGAAAAAAAAAGAAAGCACCGTAAGAACAGTGAATAAAGGATCAAAGGGTGGAAAATTCATAATTTGTCCTCGCCATCTTCCCAGGCTTTGCCAGCAGTCACCAATCTCGCCTTCCAGTGCTTCCACTTACACTGTATGTAAAACGGTCATCAAATATCTTCCCTCGCAATTCAATATCATAAACCATTTAATTCAATTTTAAGCCATAATAACGTCGTAAGTTCGTTAAGAATATGACAGGAAAATACATGTAGATCGGACTGAACTTTTTAAGTTAGATCAGCGTTCAACGAGTAAAAAGAACAGTGACTCACTCACCTCAAAGTGTCCTGCATAGCGATGAAAAGCATATGAAAAGCAATAAATATGATGTATATACTTTTTCTAGTCCCTTCTCCGGTCGAGTTTGGCAAGACTGGAAAGGCGGTCATCAGTAACGCAAAGTAACATTTATATCTCTATGCATACCTTCTAGCGCATTACGCACTCTCACTTCCGCTTCCACTTTCAACCGAAATCCGAATTCTCTCAGTCTCCACCCGCTCCTTCTCCATCCGCATCTCAACCTTCATAACTTCTCTTTGCCAATCCGTCCTCAGGCACAACCAGAGTCCCACTGCAGAGCAATAAACCAACGCGACCGTCAAACCAATCCATAATCCCCTCAGCTTCATTCCGTATGCAAACGCAAGCCATAATCCAAATGGAATACCTAGCACGTAGTATGCGGATAAGTTGAGAAGTGCTCCTAACGCTTGTTTTCCGCGTGCGCGGAGCACACCGGCTATGCAACCACTGAGTCCGTCGAAGACTTGGAACAAAGCGACAATAGGAAGGATGGAGGCGACGAGGGAGACGACTTCCGGGTCCTTGTTGAAGAGATACCCCCATGAATTGCGGAAAATAAGGAACATTGCGCTAGGAAGTATTAACGTAATATCAGAATACCAATAAACAATGACATAAAACAGGCATCAAAAGGAGATACCTGTTCAGAAGTTCGACAACCATAACCACCAAAAAGGAGACTTTTGCCGCAATTCCGGCGCGGTGTGCATTCTTCTCACCAAGCAAGTTACCAATCCGTACTGATGCGGCGATGCTCATAGAGAATGGTGCCTGATATGTTGCAGAAGCAGAGACAAGGAGAACGGACTGGGTGGCAAGAGCAACTGGCCCGAGTTGGCTCGCAGCAACTATGTTAGAAAATAATTTGAGCTTAGGGCCTTATAGGAGCAACAGTATAAGGTCTTACGTCCAACAAGCTCCCAGGACCACCATTCTGAGGCCGTCTGACCAACTCCTGCAATACCGAGCTGCACCAGTATGCCTAGACTGGTGAACATACGATGGGACAGTGGGTACCATGCAGTCCGAGGTACCCAGAAAATGCCGTATATGAGCGAGAAGATAGCGATGAGATTGAACGAAATTGAAGTCGCAATTGGAGCACCAATGAATCCAAGGCGAATTGACTCTGGGCCCCATACGAGTGAATAATTGAGAATAGCATTAATAGGCGCAACAACCATCGTAACACGCGTTGGGACTGTGAATAAGCCCTGCGACTGGAAATAGCGACGGGAAACCTGGTTAAAAATGTATGCAGGGAGACCGAGGAGTGCCCAACGTAAGTAAAGACCTGCAAGATTAGCAACCTCCGGATCCTGCCGCAAGACCAAGAGGATTGCTTCAGCGTTTACCCATATGGATATTATGGGAACGAGAGCTGCAATCAAGACAATTGTCATTCTCTGAGCCCAAAGACCAACGAGTTGCGGCTGGTCAGAGGTCCATGCAGAAGGAAGTACTGTATCAAGAGTGCTCGCGAAACCCTGCAGAATACTATATCCAGTGACAGACGCAGTCATGGATCCAAGCGTTGATGCAGCAAGAGCGACAGTAGAAATTTGACCTATTGAAACTACGGAAGCAATTATCAACGAATATTCCAGGAGTTGCGTTCCGTATACAGGCAAGGTATATTTTATAAGAATTTTGGTCTCTTCCCAGTACATGGCGACAGGTCCGGGTTCTGGCTTGCCGGCTTCTGCCACATCGCCCTCTTCGACAATGCGAGGAACCGGTGGATTAGGGCCAAGGAGCGGCGTAGTTTCAGAAGCATTGAAGGGCTTGGGGAGCGATGCTATCGTTGGGATAACAGGACGGAGAGTGCTATGTCGACGGCCATGAGGATGTTCCGAGTCATTCAACTCCCCATAGTCGCTGATGTCATCGCCGTCGTCACCAACCCGTCCCGAGTTTGCAGAGGCATAGCGGGAAAGAAGGCCATAGTCTGTTGGGAGCGAAGAGGCGGAAGCAGAATAGTGGGGGTTTGTAGACGACATGGAGCAGAAGACGAAAACGTAACCGTCTGTCTTTCTAACTTCCTTTTGACTCAACTATGGCTTCCGAAATGCCGACGATCACGCGTCGATCATTGAATTCCAAGAGTCAGTCCAATGCACGTGACCGTTCCCCGCAACTTCGGTCCGAGTTCCCATCCCGAACTTCCCATCTCATCTATTGCCATTGGCGCCCCAAAATCAATGTGCAATCGAACTGGTAACTCAGTTTGAGTGTCAGGAGACGGTTCTCCGTGTCTCTCCTGTCCTTGGATTTCGAGTCCTCGACCTGACAGTCCAGTGTTGTATGTATTCCGCATTCATCGGCACTTCTGTAAAATAGGTCACTCGCAGTCGCAGTGCTCGAATGATGCAGAATGGGGAAATTAGTTCCCCATTGCTGCTCGTGACATACACTTTATACCGTAGTGAGCTAAACAATATCCAGTACGAGATGGACAGCTCTCCAAATATGTTTGAGGCCTATCTGCTATCCGCATCTCTGGTTTGACCTTCCATTTGACTCTCCGATTCACTTCCTGTTCACTCGAAATTCACACTGCGTTGATAAACACATGCTTTCTTGAGTTGTCTTCCCGAATAAAGCTTCTAAGTTCCACGCGCTGGTGTGAGCCTCCGTGCAGTGCCTCGCTTTAAACAGTTCACGGAAAACTCCCTTAGGAGATTGATGAAATGTATTGCGAAGAATCAAGATATAATATGATTTAGAAGTCGAACTAAGCAGGAAAAGCAACTTGTAACATCGCTCCGAGAGAACGGCGGATTTATACCTTCAAACACAAAGTGTGTCTTCGTCACTTGAGGCGGCTGTAGGATATTCCAGGACATATAAGCTAAATTGACAACAGAGACGAGAAAATAGACTCACATTTGGTGAATTCGATGTTGCTTACAACCCTAGACCTGTAGTTGGTGCCTTCGTTCACTCCCATCTCGCCTGCCTCCTTTAGATTGATTAGGAGGTGGCTTCCGAGGACGCACAAAAGCGCAGGACTTCCAGCCGCATTCAGAAGATATGAAACGAAGGGGCTAACGTCCTCGAGTCTGATACGTGCAATCTGTGCCACAGAGCAAAATATTACACTAAACTAATCAGCTAAGGATGCATTGTGTGTGTAATATTTTGCTTACAAGCCATAATATAAGACTTGGTCTTCAACAAGCACTCTGACAAGATAGAATCCCTTAAATCCGGAAGAAAATTTCCAGTACTCTGTACTCTTGAACAGAGCAAGGCATAGTAAGATTGTTCCATACACCAGAGGGACAATCCTGTTTCAAATGAGTTGGTGCCTAGACCTGTACAAATTATGATTACCATGAGATAATAAATGATGTGTGTGAAACTTCATTAGTAGCCACACAAACATTGACCCCTTGTGTAAGACGTCCAACATTGACTGATTTTTTTTTTTCACAGCTCTCAGTCTGCTACTAAAAACAAAATGTGAATGATAGTCTTACTATTGTAATGCAAGGCGCTATAGATAAGAAGACCAAGATCGATGCCTGCTTCTGCGGCGAGGAGAATCTTGAGGCAAATTGAAACCTTCTTGTCTGCGAAGAATTTAACGTAAAGCCTTATCTGGAGATACAGCATACTTACTCTGACGGCAAAGTGCCAAGACACGCATTTGAAGAATATCTGACAAACTAATAAGTATGCTCTAACCTTTTCGAGCACTAGGACATTTGCTTACAATCTATAAGTACAACAGTGATCAAGTCTGCTTACTAGATTAAATAGGTATAACATTAACTAAAATAAGACCACCTACTGCACAGACTGCCAGTCCACAGAGTCAACCGACCTAATTACCAGGTGAGTAGTTTGTATGAATGTGCTGGAGGTACAATCGTACAGCTGCGCGTAACGTGTGTTGGGATACAAAGTCAGTAGTAATCTTATAATGATATCTTCCTCATACCTCGAAATATTCACGTGAAAGCTTGAAGCTAGAGTAGAAACACGCGTCAATTAATTTTTTTTTTTTTGATACTGCATTGCATAAACGGATCACATGCTTACTGACTATGGAACAAATCGCTCCCAGGAGTCCAACATAACGATTCTAGATCCCTAGGGTTACAACAGATCTATCTACCAGAACATTTAACGGTACGTACTGTGAAATAAACAAGACTTATGGGGCTCTTTGGCTTCTGCTTCATTTTTATTATTAGGATACAGACCCTATAATCTAAGCATGAGGCTCACCCAAAAGTACTTTGCCTAAAGATAAGAATGTCAGTGCAGATTTAATAAATTCACGAAGATATACCTCCTTGGCGGTAGTTATGACTAAGTGGATTATGTTCTGTATCTGTAAGAACAGCACTTAATAAACTACAGTACTCACGAGAGTTATAGACCAATACAGTCAAGATGGCGACTTCAAAGTACTTCGCAGTGTTAATTGAGGAGACAAATAATGGCACCAAACTCGGGTCGACGTCTATGGCAGAGGAGCGGGTGTGAAGAGTGTGAATATGAGTGTTGTCTTGAGTATGGGCTGCCATGAGAAGGAATGTTTATGGCAGCATTCATCCTGGGCCTTCCTGGCCCTTTTATATGGTGTAGTCTCGCAGTTTGATTCGATTGCAATTGCGGTCTCGTCTGTGCAGAATTACAGTATTCGGGTCGGTTACTGATGTCACTAAATATATAAGTTAAGCGGCGCCGCATGGCCGAGCATTGCATGGATGGGAATGCAAATGAACTGATTGAGGCGTTGTGCGAGAGGAGACACAACACCACCAGGGATCTAGAATGTTCATCATAAAGCGAAGTAGAATCGTCTCCTGTACTACCATCTTCTCCAATACTGAGCCAGTTGTCAAACCGAATACTCGGCTCAATGCGCGCTACAGGTTCTCGAGCGCCGTATCAAACATAAGAGACACATCCGTCAAATTTTAAACAGTGAGATGAGTTTATCTTTGCCTGTACAGTTTTAGCTTTCAGTAAGTCTTCGACCTGTGATTGACTGCATCTCTGTAGTCATTGTAATATGTATCCATGCTTACCTATTGCCAACCATCTCTTCCAGGATTTTCGATGAAAATGTAGTCATCCACGTCTATAACGGGACAGCCATCTTCTCTTGTACAAGGGTTTCTAATTCCAGTTTAGCCGTACCTCCTTTCACGAATGTAATTGAAAAAGAGTTTACGTTGTCGCGCACGGTAACCATTCCGTGGACGAGGAGCGCTCGGAGAGGTTCACATAGACACTCAGCTAGATGCTCCAGTCATTTGGGGTGTTAGAGACTAATTTGAGAGTGAGTTTGTCCCTCTTGTTAGGCGCATGCAAGTAGTGGCCGGCCTACCCGACAATGAGAGAGCGCTAGTCCAGTGAGATAATCTGAGTTGATTGGAGTTTCTTGTCAAAATCATAATATGCCCAAGTCGTCATTACAGTTGACACCTGCAAGGGCCAGGTAATAACGTTGTTGCCAGGGTTGGCGGTATGCTTGTCTTTACCTTGTCGAGTGACGAAATCGGCGACTTTGGACGAGGACTGAGGCTGAGGACTCTGCCTCTAGCGCTGGTCAGGTGACGGGAGAAGCATCCCATGGAATGTGTTTATCTATATAGAATCCCCAGATCGAACCCTAGCAACTCAGTTACTAACTCACTCCGTTAATGTACAATATACTGGACCATTCCACCTTATCATTTGTCTGATCTGAAGTCCCTATTCATCTGCGTTACGAGTCTCGACAAGAAGATTTGGCTCGTAATCAAGGGTACCATATTGAGATGCTTAATTGCATACTATGTTGAATGTTCCCAGTAGATATAGATAGACACCTCGTAATTTCCCTTCTGTTTCAAAGCGAATGATTCAGAAGATGCCGCTGGGAGAAATCATCATCGGTGGTTATAGTATTGCTGATGTAACAAGAAAACTCCGGAGGTCCGTCGGAACGATTGCTCCGTCTCAAGAGGAAGCGGGAAGGAAGATTATTTTAAGAACGACGATTTCGAATTTCCAGCTCTCAAGGCACACACATCGTCTTGCCAAATGGCATGACCTAATGGATTTGCAATGAGCCCCACACAGGAGGCAGAATCCCATTTTGTAACCCTAGGAATTTATTACAAAATTTGAAAGCTACTACCTGATTGGCTGGAAATACATTTTAAAACAAATTCTCTAGGCTTCAGAATAGGTTTCTGCCTCCTGTTGGCCAGAAACAATAAGCAGCGTTAGATTCCAAAGGCTCAGAGACTGCAAGATGACAAAGATCACGGGCCATACGCGGCCCAGCATCACCAAAACGTGCAGAGTCTGACAAGGCAATATATTTACATGTAGACTTTATAAGCGAATATAAGGATCCACAATATGTAAAAAATATATGTCTTAGCAGTAAATTCCAATACATTTTCGTGTTCGATTTGGTGATGCCATATACCCCACAAGTCACATCTATGCCTTTTTTCTTTTTTGCCCCATACAAAGGACCATTGATTTGTCGTATTTAACACAAAAAAGTACAGTTACTCTGTCGAACATTAGGAATTGCTTTGGCTTGATTTCTAACGATTCTAGTCAAGCTGCTTAGAGTTTCGGGTTTTGGATGAAAGAGATGCCCTGCGTGAATTCAGGTTTAATCAGGGTCGCTGCGACAATGTCGATGAGAAAACAAACCTTCTCGATGTTAGTCTTGAGTTCAGGAACAGCAGCCTCCAAGAGGGTCTGCTCGTAGCTGGAAATCTTTCCGAGAGGGTTGATTTTCTCTACACCATTTTCCTGATAAGAAATGAGAACGTCAGTGTTATCTATTTTAAACATGAATGAAATACCAACCCCAAGTTCCACACGAGTCGAGAAATATTCGAGAGGTGCTCCAATTTCTTCTTGAACTGTCTTTCCACCTTCATGTGCCGAGAGATGCACGAATGTTGGGGCAACGATGCCCTTCTCACCTTTGATTGCGCGCAACAGCTTCGCGGCGAACTCCGCGCCAGCATAAGCCATAGAGAGAGTCGCGGAGCCTGCACCATCTTTTGCTTTGACGACCTCATCACCACCATATTGGACACGGTTCGTCAGCGCTTTAATGCCGTCCTCCGTCAGATCTGCTGGCAAAGGGTGAGAGGATTGTGAAAGAAGTGGAACAATCTTTAATATTATGAGCATATATCCAAATCTAATAAAACGCGAAGATATGTTACTCACGGTAACACCGCTGTGTCCACCGACAACAGGAACCGTGACAGCGGGTGCAACTGAAAGGTCTCCGATTTTTTCCGCAACGAATGTGGAAGCGCGGACAACATCCAATGTCGTCACTCCGAACAGCCTAAATACCGATTAACAATTTACGACTATACAAAGTTGTATTATTTCCACATACCTCTTTGGATCAAATACATTCTTCTGCTTGAAGATCTCGGCGACTATCGGAACAGTTGAATTGACCGGGTTTGAGATGACAAGCACGAAAGCTTTGGGGGCGTGCTCAGCAATACCAATGGCGAGATCGCGGACGATTCCAGCGTTGACCTAGTTTCATGAGACAAACAGACACATGCGGGGTTCGATTCCAGACATACCTTGAAGAGATCATCCCTACGCCACGACTGATTAGACATAAAAACCTGCGCATATATCCACCTAAACATACCTCGTCATCTAGAGGAAGATGCAAAAAAATTAAAATGAATTCGTATTATTGGTCTTCAATTACTTACTCCTGGCTTCCTCGGGACACCTGCAGGGATAACCACAACATCTGCGCCTTTGAGGGTCTTGCCAAGCCCGTTGTCAGGAGGGAGGTAGCCCTCAACTTTAGCAGGCGTGTCAATGTGCGACAGATCGGCAGCTACACCAGGAGTATTGACGATATCATATAGACCGAGCTACAGAGAAGCCAATAAACGCATGAATGACGGTAAACATGAAAAGAGTCGTGCTTGATCACCTCAGAGATCAGAGGACTAGTCTTGAGCAGTAATGACAACGGTTGTCCAATACCGCCTGTGGTAAACAGTTCAATAACATATACCTTTAACATATCGACTTTATGGTTTACCAGCAGCTCCGAGAACGACAGCTTTTGTCATCGTTGTTGCAGATGGTTGATGAATGAGAGAGATGATATCGAGAATCTGGGCAGTTGCGTCCTAATCGGCGTCTCAGTGGGGATACGCACGTGCTGCGAAATCACGAGCGTTGCTAGCACATGATTTACTCGTCATTGCACTTGCTCATTGCGAGTCCTTGAATTGTGTCGATTCTACCCGCGAGGTTTACTTGTTTGCATTATCTAGGGCGGAAGAGGGTGGAACAATTTTTTGACGCGGATTCTCGGGCTTTTACATGGAGGGAGGAAAGCTGCTTCCCGAACAATAAACACGGTTGTATCGGAGGTTGACGCTGAGAGGTCCACCATGTGGACAATAGACTTCAATGAAGAAATTAACCATCTGTGCTACGTTGACATCTATCTTGCGTGCCTTTGGCATTTGCCGACAAAGCTTTCGGGTTCGGTGCGGGGATAGAGCGGGAATCATCAAAAATCGTACTTTTCCTTCCGGATCTTAGGTACGTAAACGACATGGGACTTCCATGCAGATGAATGTTCTTCGTGTCATGGCGTGCATGTGTCCGCTGCTGATGCTGGTGTAGGATGTTCTTGCTAACCCTCAGTGTACAGGAGGGGATTGTTGATGATATATTCAAGAGCTACTGTGTCTTCTTTCCACGATTCTATTTTTTCCTATGAAGTGGCCTCCCACCGTTCACAACTTGAATAACCCTCAACGTTATCCTGGGACCGCCTTATCACCCCACTGATAGGTCTGTATCAGATAATGATGAACTGTGCCCGTCCTGGAGAGGTATCTGCCCACTCCGAGATAGAATGCAGGAAGTCTGGTCTTTGTGCCCTGGATCCGTGGAAACAAGCGGACCGCGACGAAGCCGCAAGCTTGATCATACTATGGGGCTTTTATTCTCGCAGTCGTGAGATTGGAATACTACATCCTCCGTTCTTGAAGCGGTGCGCGTGCAGGAGGCTGCTCGACGACTGGTGGATCTGATAAGATGACGCGTGGGTGTTGGATATCTGATTATCCTTCCACTCCCTTCGCCTGACACGGATGGCTTCGATTTACCTCAATTTGTCCTGATGATCTCGCACCAGGACATAATGTCGTGCCTTTCACTCTGCCGAACGGCTTGTTTTTCGCATCTGCGCCAAGGATTTTGGATATTAATAGGCGACAACGGAGTTATAAAACAATGCCTCGGTTCATGAGACAATGCGTGCTGCCTTGCCACTGTTCCCTGTCCTCTCTACGGCATGGCTGTATCTAGTCAATCAGAAGTGCAATCCTTGACCAACAGGCCAGTCGTGGACGAGAAGGGTTCATCCGAGAAGGTCTCAAGTTTCGATGAGCAGTCTGTGGGCTCCAGAAATCGAAAGCCAAAGTTACCCGTCGGATGGCGGATACTCATTCTCGTCCTGACTTGCTTGTGCAGCTGTGCGTATACACGTCCTCGCTGCCTCACTCTAAGGAATTTGAATTAATCATTTATTCCTGCAGTTGGTAATCATTGGAGTAATGTTCGTCCACTTTTCTCATACCTTATCAAAGCTCACATCATCTTCTCCTTTGTACACAGGGTTTGATTGTGTATGAATATTGATTCTATGGCTTTGAGTTATTTGTGTACTTACTACCGACTTACAGAGCACTGAAGACCACAATTATCAAGGAGACGCACATCAATAATTCGCAGTTCGCGACTTTGGTTGCAGTAACCAACTTGGTTGGCAATAAACCGTTTTCTTGACTGTCGTTCACTCTGACTCAGCCATACAACAGGTTAATACTTTCCTATGCGTCGCTCTCGGGTTCTGTATCGACAAGTGGGGAGGTCCTCTCCTCTCTGCCATCCTCGCCTCTTTCCATATGGGTGGCGTACGTTACTGTCGCAGTAACTTATCTGGAGTTCTCATATAATTCTATGACGTAGGCTATTGTTATGGCTGGCGCTGCGACGAACAACTTGAATAGTTATCCACTGCTCATTGTTGGAAAGGTAATCGCCGCTATTGGAGATGGCTCGTTGGACAATGCACAGCACAGGATCTTCTCCACCTATTTCGCTCGTGGCGGGGGTTTCGCTTTCTCAATTGGTGAGTAGAGTATACTTCCATTCGTAAATCTACTTGAGATTCTAACAGAAAGAGCGCAGGTGCTATCTGGTCTGTATTGAAGCCGATCATCATATACTTCTGCTGACCCGAAAGACATGTTCAGGGGAGTTGCGAACCTTGCTCAATTCACTGGTCAATCGACAGCAAACATTATTGCGACCAATCTCGGCACCTACGCATGGGCGCTCTGGATATCAGCTGTTATTGCAGGTTTCTCGGTGGCCTGCGCGCTCGCTGTTATCTTCCTTGATAAGTGGCTTTGCAAGACCTACGAAGTAACCGACCAGACGGACGGACAAAATCTCAAGAGCCATACCCGAAAGGGCGTTTTCAGTATTACGGCAATCAGACATCTCCCATTGACATTTTGGTAGGTTGTCTTTGCCCTGAACTTCGTAAGAGTACCAATAAATGACGTTCTTGTGCAGGATCGTCGTACTCTTTGCTATCTTCGAGAATGCTGGTGTGCAATCTTTCGTATCTATCTCAACGCAAGTCTTCGTCTTTTCCCATAAAGTCTACATCTAATGATATTATTATTACCTTCGTTAGGCAATTCGCACAGCAAAGGTTGAAGAAAGGCGCGGTCATTGGTGGATGGGTCTCAAGTTTTTACCTTTTGCTCCCAGCATGCTTGACACCCTTCCTGGGTATATTCATTGATGTCTATGGCCAGCGAGTGTCATTCTGTATGTACATATGTCAACTCACCAATATCATCTTTGCTCACGACATGCTCTCCCAGTGTTCGCTTCTGGCGTGACTTTCTTGATTTCTATGCTGCTCTTGAAGTTCTCGCATACAGTTCCGACGTTTGGTTAGTCCGCATGCCATTTCTCCCATGGGAGTGGGCCAGTCGTTAACTTCCCTTACTCTAGTGGCTGCGTATATTTTCTACGCAATGTCTCAGGTGAGATGAACGAAATGAATCATCATCGGTGTTCTGAAGATGCGTTCCAGTGTGTTACTCCGGCGCCCCAAGTAGAAATTGTCAGGAGTGTCATATCTGATCCCCAATGGTTTGCCACGGCATTTGCCATCAAGAGTGAGCTGACTGCATGCATGCATATTTGAGTTAATGACTAATTTATTCGCAAGAATCCGTCGTCCAAGCTTCTATCGTCATCATCACAACAGCAGCTGGAAAGCTGCAAGATGACACCCCAAGCGACTCGCTAGACCCTGCTGTGACTTTATGGCTTGTCTACGCATTCCTCTCTGTTGCTGTCTCGGGAGTTCTACTCCTACTTTCAAGGACGACCCTGCTACCTGCTGCGCGTCTATCGCAAGTACAGCCAAGACTGCTTGATGACGAAGTGGAACGTCTCATGCGTAAGAAAGGGTTGGAAAAATTGGCGAGTGGAGATATGAAGCAGGAAGAGAAACGGCTGAAGTCACCTGTCCCGGGTCGCGAGGGCGTGCGTTGGCTCTTCCTTGCTGCGTCTGTCGGAATTATTTTCATTGGATGGACCATGTTCGGTCTGGGCGTCGGGTGGGGCGTTCACGGAAACGTCATTGCGGGAACTACTGGAGAATGATTGCCTTTTAGTGTGAAAACGCGGCATGTTTGAGTTGATGAAAGTATGCTAAGTACCTCGAGGACATCCTTGCTTGTATGACAGTAATGAGACTGCGTACGTGTTCGTGTTTCAGCTTTTATGGTACTATTACCAGAGTGTAAAAAGGGTAAGATTGTACTACTGAATGAGTATTAGAGTAAACTATTCATGCATCGTGGCAACGCAAGTCGATCGTGTCCATTTTTCGGTTAGAGTCACTGCTAATAGTGCTACACGTCTTACGTATTTCCGATAGCCCCGTTAGGGAATTACACTGCCGCTGATGTTCAGGCAAAAAGGCTAAATTCGCGCTTCTTTCTCACTTTGCAATGTCCGTCATCTAAGTCCTCTTGCACCGCTCACGAATACTTTGCATTTCTTCAAAGAGGCATTCAATGCTCTCAGCGACTTGTGGCGATATTTGACTTACTATTCCTCTGTCCTTGGATTAAGCAACTTGAAGTATTGGAAGACTTGCAACTCGGTAGACATCACCGAGCAGGCCGCAGTACCCGACCTCCCCGTTTGTTCCGTGCCTCTGTTCGCACATTCCAATTCCCATTGCGGACAGCGCAGCACGATGAGTTCCTGAGTCGCCAATGTTCGCTTTGATGCTGAAACTTGGCGCGTGAGCTGTCAAAAGGCTGACAACGCTCTGATGCATATAAGCACTCAACTCCCCGATGTTACAAGGAGAACCGCCCCTTTCTTCTTGACTCTCATCTGCTTGCTCTTCGGGCGTGGCGCAATATCGTAAGCCTCTCTCCAACCCGCATTCTCAGATTTTCGGGATATTCTACGTTACGCAAGGAACGTCTAGAGAAGCGGCGCTCCGGGTATCGTCGGTGATGTTAACAGCATGTGCTTGCATCCGGTGGCTTTTAAAACTATGCATGCAGTACTATCGGCTTCCACTCGCCATAACCCTTGAAACACATTGGATGGTGCCAGATGGCATATATATGTACGTCCTGGAGGAACGAAGGCGTCTATGCGCCTCGTCCTACATCCATCTCACTCTTCCACGGAACGATTTCCGACTCTCCCGGCGTAAGCGCCGAACGCCGTATGTATCTCGGAGCCAGGGCTGCTGAATCGCGCCTTGAATACATATCGATATCCGTCCGAGACCATTCACTTTCGAATTGTTTTTATGCGCCATGACGTTATACGTATAGGAAGTGATCCTCTTTGGCCTCGATTCGTCGTTCGAAGCCGTTCCGTGTCATGCCCGAAGACCCATTACGTGCTTCTTTTGCCCACACAGGTGCTTCCGAGCCCTCTCTGCGTCTCTCATCCTTCGACTTCGGTGAAGCCGGGATCGCCGCTCATCCGTGTAGCTTCCGCTTTTCGATGTCTAGTATACCGAACGTGTGAAATACTTCCGTCGACCTTCTTACAGTCAAGCCCGTCCTACGCCGTCAACTCAACAGTCACTTAGATGTGCTGTCAACTGCGGTGTTCGCCGCCGGCCTTCGCAACTGAACTAGCAACTCGACAGACTCGTCCCCTGACTGTTTAATGTGTTACGCACTTCCGCTCCTGCGTATTAAATTAGTCTAAACAACTTGTTGCACGATACCAAGCAAGCGACATATGGCAGGCCAAGCTCTCCGATCTCATCTAGCAGAACCCATCAGCGGCGGTGTTGCACGGAGCGGGACCTTATGTGCGGGATTATTTCACCAGCAACACGACGTTTCCGAGGCGTATACACTCATATCTATTCAAAAAGAAAAGCAATCAAATTGCAATTATAACCTTGAACAACGATGGATAGATTATGACAGATGGATACGATGGGTTGCACGGGAAAGGAACGGGCACCCTGGAGAGACACACGACAGGTCGCCGAAGACTGACTTGTTTTGGACAATAGGTGCGAAGCTCCTTGTTTTGTTGTGCTGTGCCGTTATTGCTATTTGCATATTGCTATACCCTTGACGCCCGATCCACCGATGGGCCGCCGGGCTCAAAAGGTCATCGATTTAATCATTCAGCCTTCATGCTGCTTCCCCTCGCCTTCCACCCTTCCCCTCATCCTTGTTCCTCTGTTCTGCAACGATGGCAAATCCTTTGTAGCATTCGACATCCGTTCCGTGCGCATTTGGGTGAAGAGCGGACGAGCTATTTTAGTATTGCTACATGTCGACTTTCCCGAAAATCGAAAATCTCCTCGAGGATGCCCTAACCGCCCGAACGACGAATCTCGCTTTCTCCTCAAAGGCAGCGTCGTTCAGCAGCAGCTCATGGTGCTGTTCGCTACCGACACAGACAGTGAAACACCTCTGTCTCGATTGACTTTGACACCGCCTTGTCGTCCTGGGCTCCATCGGACACGTCCCGCAGCGGAGATCAATGCGCTGCAACGAACGTCACAGCAACACGAAACCTCAGGTCATAAGGCAAGCATCTCAAAGAGTCATCTCCTGCTACCTCATGTCACCTGCTTGCATGCGATGTGGACGACAAACGCGTTTCCGTACAAATAGGCTTTCTGGCACCTCACGTTGCCCCCGAAACATGGATGAACACTCTCGCTATCATGCGTAACCGGAGCATGTAAAAAAGTGCAATACGCTCATGTGAAGCCCAGAAAGGGATAGCAACAGCAAGTTATATTTTACGGCACACGACCCAGGAAAGCACATGAAGAGGAATATCAACAATTCTACCAATGCGAAGAGAGTGGAGAGGGAAACTGGAAAAGAGGTAAGAAGAACGTTGCTATTTTATGCATCCACATTAATGTCGTTGACTCGTTCTGTCATCATTCTGCGGTAATTACCACTCAGTGTGGGTGATGAAACCCAGGAGCCGTAAGCAGGCTCATCGAGTACACGTGTTGTACCGGTGGCTCTCACATAACTGTCAAAAACGTTGCAATCAGCTGAGTCACTTCTGGCAGGCAGCGAACCAGGACTCACTCGTACATGTCGATTCCGCCAGCGACTTCTGCTGAACAGGTTCGCCAAGCACACTCGCTACTAGTTCCGAGGCATATGTCGGACGTGGTCCATAAGGTTCATCCCAACTGGAGCACCATGTCAGTCCTGGGGAAGGTGTTGGAACACCCCCAGTTGCACTCCAGTCTTGATTCAATAACGGTGCCCATCCGAGTCCCTTTCTGAAGTTCTCATCGGCCTTATCAAACTCCTCTTCCGAATATCGGGATCGTGTAACAATACACGAGGGAGGACTGGGGAAGAGTTCATTGTTTCCTGATGATGTACTACTAGGATGCCCATTTGAACGAGGAAGGTTGCAATCTATTCCACTGAGGCTTGATCGGTCCGAACCGGGCCAGCTCCATTGCTGGGTACTTGATGGTGCGGGTGCGGGAGATGCACTTTGCAGGCCTTTCTGATAAGCTTTGTAACCTCCAAGAAGGTCGACGTGCTGCTGCTGCAATAGACTGAGGCGCTTCGTGGTCTGCGGAGATACATACGCTATTGGTGGTCGTGCGGGCTGTTTCTCAGATTGAGGCTGCTGTTGCGGTGGAGGAGTGGGAGAGTTTGTAGTGAAATCGGCATACATGGGACTAGGTTTCGACTGCCCGGCATCCTCTTCACTTGGTGGAAGATCGGTGTTCACAGGGGTAGAAGGGGATTGGGTGGGATATGGACTTGTGTGACTCCTGGAGCTAGCTGAGGGCGTTGATCGTGTGGAAGGTGGCTTCGAGGGAGAATCAGACGAAGTCTGAGAGTACAAAGTTGGTGAGGACGCAAATTTGATTCCGCCAGACGACGATGTACGCCGTATTCTTCTCCGAGATGATGGCGTCTTGACCAATGCAGCAGGTGCGGGACCTAATGGTTCTGCTTTCGGAGTAGAGTTATCCCACCAAGTTGGCGACGCTGTTCCGTTGTTTACCCTGGGGCGTTCGGCAGGGAGCGATACACGAAAACGTGACGTCGATGTCAACGGAAGTAAAAGCCTTCTTAGGCGTACTGGAATTGATTAAGAAAGCATCAGCGATCAACGTCGATTTGCGACCCTAATAGTGGTTGCTTCCGAGATCACTTACGTTTGACGTCGGCATCCTTCATGTATGGAACAAGTGACCGGGCAGCTGAGAGCATTTCGAAGTACGACTGGCGGTATCGTACGAGGTGTGCTGGACAGGCAACGAACGGACGCGCACTTGCACCAGCTTCTGAGAGCGTCTCCTTCGCGATCTACAACATCACGACCAATGGGTATATCGTGGATGATATGCACGTTAGGTTTCAGGAACGTGAGAGAAGGAGCATCATAAAACGAGAATAGTAAGTTATGTGGCGATCACTCCAATACAGAATAGTCGCGCACCTCGATGTTGTCGACGAGCTGACGACAGAACGTGGAAGTGGCAGCTTGCTTTGAGCGATTCATCAACCAGAGAAAATAAGCTTGACTACATACCTTCTCTTGGATCTCTTCGCTGTTTTGCGCCAGTTCCGTCTGGAATAGACGTACCATCTGGTTCGTTGCGATGATAAACCGCCGAAGATATGAAAAGTCGGTGCTAAGGCCATCAAGTAGCCGTATTTCATTACTATGTGCCTCTGGACTGGAGGTCTGAGCTGTTCTGGAACTCGACCCTATTTCTATGACTGCTGACTGTCCCATGTTGGGTCGATCTGCTCTACTATGTCGATGATTCTGCTGATCCCGACTGTTCCGACCACCGTTGACACTTTGACTGGACAAAGGACGGCGATGTTCGGAGTCGTTGCAACGATGCTTGGTGCGGCCTGGAGGCGGGCTCCGTTTGACAGTGTGGATGGGTTTCCCGGAGCGGCCGGAGAATAGTCGAGAGGAAGTGTTGTGGGGAGAAACTGAGGCAAAGCGAGAGTCAGGCTGAGCGTCTGACTGTCCAAAGGGGCGTGCTGTGCTGCGTGATGTTCGATAAAAGAAAGCCGAGATGACTATACGCGTGGCGGCTGGTCTCGTTCGTGAGTATTACCAAAACGCTATTTCCGTGACTTGTTATTGTATTTTTTTCCCGCTTAAACGCGGCTTTTTGCACTATTCAACCGCCGTCCCTTCACTCGATTATGCAAAGTGAGTTTAATTTGTCTTCCTCTGGATTGCTTGGCGATGTCCCTGATAGGTCTGGCCCGTTCAGCTAAGGCCGATGTGCTGGCCAAAGGTAAGTAGATTATGTTTCTCGAACCAGTTGTGGCTGCGCCGTTCGTCTGGTGAGTGCCGGGCTGGGTGGCAGAAACACGGAAAGCAGCCGTTGCCACGTGCGTATGATCTTCTGATGGTTCGCTCCTTTTGGCAGCTCTTGTGTCGATCGGTTTGCAAATTCCACATTTATTTGCTCCTTTCAAGCACCGTCTTTCACCGGAATCTACGCTATATGGTACACACAGTACATCTGCAAATAAATTCACAATTTACTTTGCAGAGCATTACCACTTATTCTCATTCGAAATACCTCATTGTACTAGCGTTTTCCAGAAACACGACGGTTTGTAAGCCTAGGAGTCATCTGGAGTTTATCAGGTTTACACGGAGAATGCAGCGGAAGGCAATTCAGGTGGAGACCGAGTAATTGAAAAAGGTCCGGCCAGAGCGTCCTGCTAAACAGGATGGAGATTCGATCAGTGATTAGGATGGAGCGCGCACTTCGCGGCGTTTTGATGTAACTCCGCAAAGGGGAACCAAGCTCTCATACCACGCCGCAAATGGCGAATCGATAGTATAGAAGCTCTTCTGCTTGCGATTTATTCGAATATTAGTGATACTGAATGAGTAGATACAAAACTGATTAGCGCTCGCATTGTGCTTCTGGTGGGAGGGACAAATGACATGTTTGCGTGCGGCTATTGTAAGTGCTATGTGCGGTACTACCACCTTCTCGTTTTCGCAGTCGATAATAATCGATGCATCTGATAAATCGTGCTTGTAAACATAATTTCAAAATCAAGCATCCACTGCTGATGCCCTTTAGCTGATACGTCCGGAACTTTCCAATTTCCAAACGTTATGAACCTCTAGCATCCTTGTCCAATGAAATTCCCAAAGTTTAGCAATTGTCCATCAATCACGCGAGCGCCATACAGGTCACTTCTCGCGAACTACCATTCGCTAACGCCATGTGGCAAGAAGCAGACCGAATCAAGTTCACAGAGGAATTCCAGCATGATGCCATGAGCAACAGCGCTCCACTTCGCTGACTAAATCGAGACCGGTGGATTTCGTCGTATGGCACTAGGACAGCGGTATATTAATGAAGATAACGGGGAAGTCTGTTTTGATTTAATTAGGGATTATTCCAAGCAAACGATAAGATCCGACCCAGGATCCGGGAGTTCTTTGCATTTAGATAAATGTTTAGTAACCGATGTTCAGCTGGAGTTTCTGGACGTGATTTGCTCTATGACCAGACCTTACCTAAATTACACAACCTGCGTCGAGACAGGTTGACATATACCTGGAACAAATAGGTGAAAGCATGCATGAACTCTAGAACGAAAACATGTGCGGAGAGGTAAATGACTACCAGATACCCTCAGGGCAACTCGACCATTGACAGTATGGATTTCGCCAGACCTCTCCTCGCGACGTCAAATGCAATGAGATCCAGCTTTATCAGCTGTTTCGGGCCTCGCAATTGGAAATAGTTCACTCACATCGATAAGAACACGGACGTCGGATTACCATTTACCAATATTAATCCGTGGCAAAACTCCGTAATATTCTCTGTCTGTGACAGTTAGAAAGATAAATTGGAAGGAGCTTTACCATCTTTTAATGCTTTGAAAATCATATCATTTCTTGCAGAGAAGAATATTAGAGATGAACCATACAATACATTGTCGAATGCAATGGGCATTTGAGTTCACAGATGCAGGCAAGGTTGATGTTTGCTTGCGAAGTATGCAAACCATTTCACGGGAGATTTTATTTACATCGCCCTTACTGATCAGCTGGAGGCTGTGCTAGAAAGTTAAGACAGATGCGTGTGCAGAATAAGAGTATGACCGGAGGAACGACATGTAGTAGCATCCAACGGTCGAGTAACAGTTCAGTTCAGTTAATTGATTTCCTTGAGCATCTTGTTACGTAATATTATGCCTAGAAATGGGAGTCGAACCTTCGTTGGTCTTTGCATTACCTACGAGGATGATCCCGTACACCTACTCGTCTTCATGTAACGGCATAGATGGATCTGACTGAGAGAGGGTGTGCAAACACAGTGATCAAGGGAGAGGAGTTCCTGCACCTCATTAAAAGACCCTGTACAATAGGCGTGGTCAAACCTCGCGATTCTCTGCACGATTCACCTCACGATTCTAGAGGGTGAATCGCAAGGTGAATCGTGCGTGCAGGTTTGACCAGCACACTTGTACATGCGCGATTCACCTCAATATACCGACCCTTGATCTTAAAATTACATAATATAAAATTAAAGAAATAGTTTTTTTTCGTGCATATACATATATTTATCTGCAAGTATGCCTATCAAGTACAAAGAAACCTGCTGTTATCGTATAAAATCTGCACGACAAGCTGTAGAGGCAAATCATCTTACTGTTTTTGGAATTTAGAGGTGAAAAGAAGCTTAGTTTTATTTTTGTAATACATGTACATATTTGGAAATAGATATGAGTAGAGGTGAATCGCAGGGGTGAATCGCAAGGCGAATCGTGTCAAAGTGCGATTCACCTTTCAGCGCGATTCACCCCGAATCGCTGGGGTTCCGGGGTCCGCGATTCACTTTGCATGAAAGTGAATCGCGCAGGTGAATCGCGCACTGAATCGCGAGGTTTGACCACGCCTAATGACGCAGGTCAGAAGATGATAGCAAAGGTTTCGATTCAAGTAAGGCACAAAGTGATGATTGTATCATAGCAACAGGCCGTATTGTGTATGCTGAACAAAGATTGCATGACTGGGATTATAATGAGAAATATGACGGGGAAGAATTGAAAGCAGCATGTGAATTCTATGGTTTCAACAAGTATACATATACCAAAAACAATGTAAAGAGAGAATACCGTAAACTGGTTGGTATCTTGTATCCAGATAACTCACAGCCCAGTTTCTCATTGTCATTTTATATATGCTAATTTCTTGTTGCCAATTTTCGTAGGCAAAGAAATACTATCCGAAAGACTTGAAGGATCCCAAGCTTACTGAAAAGTTTAAAAAGGTGATATTGCCTGTATGTGACATATATAGCTACTTATCAAGAGAGTTGTCCTTCTCAGGTTAGCGCTTTTAGAACAATCCTCGACAAGTATGTTGATGTGCGCGACGGTACGCTGGTCATTGTCAAAGCATTGCTTCTGCTTAAGTCTACGTTGCAGCCTGTAAGGAATATGCTACTCACGATTTCTCAAGTTCTCGACGGGGTACTCGGCCGTCGTCTCCTCTCGGAAAACACAGACAATACAGTGATTATGATTATGACAGTGATCTTGAAAACATACTTCGTGAGAGAAGGGACAGGGCTGATTACATACAAAAGCTTCAAGAGTATTATGATGCTCTGAAAAGTTACTGTGAGGCAGAAGAAGAAAGGCTCAGGGCCCAGCGCAAGGAAGAGGAGCAGAGACACTTAAGACACATTGCTGAGCGTGAACAGAGGCGTCAAGAATGGTTACGAAAGGTATATGAAGAGGAGGAGCGCAGACGTGCAGAGGAAGAAGAAGAACGCCGAAGGATCTCTGAATATGAAGAAGCTTGTAGGAAAGCTGAACGTGAGCGCCGGCGAAATGAGGAATGGCGTCATCATGGTACAGTGATTGCATCATTAAATAATAGGCTATGTACTGATCTGTATTTTTAGGCGCGCACCACTCTCGACATCATTCTTCAGACCGAAGACCTCGTTCTACTCATGAACAAGAGATTAGGTTCAACCATGTTCGTCCGAGACCGCAAACAGTGCCGTCAGGGCGGCACGTACAGGAACGCAGATACATTGATCCAAATGGGCACTCAACGACAACTACCAGGATTATTACAGATTATGGTGATGGTGACGACTATTCCGATGGAGGGTATTTGCCTTCATTGTCAGGATTTGGATCCCTAGACGGCGGCTTGGAGCTCAGTTTTGATGATAATGATAGCTTTATCTTTGACACGCATTTTGACCGGCATAGTCATAGAGGGCACGGATCGAGTCACTGTTCTAGTTTTCATTTCACTTTGTGAAGGCTCTACCGTTTCCATCGGCTGACTGCCTAAGAAGCCTATATTTACAGGTAGCAAGTGAGAGTCGATATTTAGATTGAAGTCATCCTACAGATGGGTACCTTCTTTAAGCAAAACGATTCATAAGGAAGACTTTGTTGATCTTGTGTCCATGTTGCTTGTCGTAATAATAATAATAATAGGTAGCCTGTGTTGCATTTAAGTCCTAAATATAGTTTCAGCGGAGGTCTGCGCAGATGCAATATCAATTATTATTATCGTCGCCATCTCGGCCCGTCCCTTATTTACGCAGCCAGCAAAGTATCCATGATTAGTCAATGTTCATTATCGAGTCAAGACTCCGTACCACCCTGCATTGTCAATCCCAGGGAAAAGCGGAGCAAGGTACCAAACAAAGGAATATTGATAAGAGCCCGAGTGTACAGATCATATGTGAACATTCGAAAGCTACATAATATCCAGTTAACTCACACACACAGCTATTGGGGAGCGCTCGATTCATCAGAATGGCCAAACTGAAGGAGCGTATCTACCGCCGCGTCAGAGACCATCCATGAACAGTAGCTCGTACATCTTCGTCGCCAGGGTCATCCGGGAACATTGGCTATATAACGATATACTACATAAGTAAATGCCAATCAATGTGAAGGTGAATCGATGCATACCGGATATCGCTCCGTGACCACTTCCTTGCACACCCAACCTCGTTCTCGAGCCTTCGAGAAGAACTCTAAGTCCCGAGATGCAAGGTGAGGGCGATGGTGTGTGTAGAATACGAGAACAGTTGGAACGGCAATACCAGGTTGCCTTGTATCGGTATCCGTTCGAAGAGTGAGCTCGCATGTTTTCAATAATGCGTCGTGCTATAAAGTATGTATCAATAATCAAATGCCAAAATATCTATTTCGATATATAATACAAATTAACGTGCCTGAGAATGATTAAACACCAAGTCCGATAATATCACAAGATCGTATTTCTCCGGGGCGACGAGTTCCAATAATCGATCCACGGGCCTCCCCCAAATGTATCCTTCAACAAACACTTCAGCACCAACCCTCTTCCTCTTTGAAGCAGAGATGTTTCGTGCGACGTTGTGCGTGAGGTTATCCAAGAGCGCCTCATCCGGATAGTCCGTCAATACAGTCTACTCAAACATGAACAAACCCATCATCAGGTTAAAAGGACCACGTTCATTCATCAAAATCCCGAGTTTTATTAAGCATAGAAAGAGACATACCCGTCTAGCACCATTAATCGCCATAACCAACCCCGGCAGCCCAGCTCCAGCTCCAAGCTCAAGGACGTTCTTCCCCTTATACAACTCAACGTTTTCCTCTCGGTCGAGGTACGTCGCGAACGCACGCGCAGCGTTCCATCTAAGTCCCAAATGGTTTCAACATTCATAGACGCGAGGTGTGAAATACATAATAGCAAGTGCATACAAACTTACAAATAATGTCCCCACAAAGTATGCGTCCCAACAAGTCTCACCTCAACCTCCTTCCAACCCTCTCCCTCCTTCTCCTCCTTTAACCTCTCGACAGCGCGGACGTAAGTACAGACAGTCGTTTCAGGCGTTGGCGGTCGATCCGGTTCCTATCCACACAGGAAGTCAAAATCGGGTGAGTGCATACAGACAAGTATAGCAAACAATGGACGTTACGATACGGGAAATATGCCATTTAGATCAAGGTCTACGTCCTCGGATTCCATACTTCCGTGATAAAGAACGTATTTATAATAGAGGGCAAGGTAGCCTATGGTTCTATGCAGAACTGAGTTATGGAATCTGGATGGAGGAACAAATTTTTACAATTGTTATTAGATCGTCGGTCCGTCGACGATCACTACCCAGTCTGGGCATACAGCGCGTAAACAACGCGTTTATTAAATTATTTTACTAGTAAGTAATAAGATACGCGTCTGATAAACTCGACAAACCAGTCACGTCACGGTCACAACCCTCTATTACCAAATTAGGAAGGACCCTTACGGCGAAATTTCAGAGTGTAACTTCGACTTGAAGTTTTGCCTCAGCCAAAGATGATTCTATATAATACAGAGAAGAGAATCTTGCCTATTTTCAGATAGAGTTAAATATTACAACAATAAAATATTTGACCATTACAGTCTGTATCTATAATTTTGTAGCTTTATCAAGATGATTACACCATCCGATCATTATGACAAATACTATATATTATAAATGGTATTATGTAAAATACATATATAGCAATTATTTGTCATATATCCTTATCTAATGGTGGCGAAATCTGAAAGAAAAAAATTAAAAAATTTACCAGACTGCTGGAAAAGTATAATTACAGCATTTAGAGAAAAAAACATAGTTTGCAAAATAACTCAGCCAATATTCACTTTTAAGAAATTCTGTTCCATCATTTTGTAGAGAAGGCTTAATACAACAAATTGATGGTGCTACTTTTTGAGTTTTGGGTCTCTGGATGGACGAGTTTCGTGCTCATTGTGGAGGCTGCATTAGGAAGGTAAGGTTACATCACGTGAGTCACACAGCTTGTCGAGTTTATCAGACGCGTATCTTATTTTAATATTTACCTCCACCGACTGGCTCATTTTAAGGATCACGGCGGCATCACGCACCACTATAACTCTAGTCTCTCATTTTAAGACCACTTCATCAGGATTCAGAATCAATGATTCTCTAAAACAAAACTAGTAATGTATCAATGTAAAGGATCAACAAATCAAATCAAAAATCAAATCAAATCAAGAAAAAGAAAGAAAGAAAATTGTAACGAAAACTCCAGTCCATCTAAGTATCTGATTCTGCCTCTACCAGAACCAACCAAAACACACTTGTCCAATCCAAAACCCCTTTCACCTCCATCATCTTCACCTTCACCTTCACGTTACGATCAAAAGAAGTATAAGTAAGGAGAAAGGGAGAAAAGAGACAGATTAAATCCCCACCCCGAGCACATATCGAAGCGTCGCCGTTCATTCTATAGGCGGCGCGTTGCGCAAGTAGACATAGCAGTCCTCTGTTGGTGGGTTCGCTTTGACGAGTTTCCCAAGTTCCTCATCTACACACACAAAAAAAAACGCATAAGTATCTCTCCCTCTCTTTCTCTAAAAAATGAGAGAAAGAGGGATTCGACTTACACTCCGGATCACTCTCCACCCTCATAAAATGTTTCATCGGCCACTTCTCCCCCCTCGCCTGCTCATCTCTCCTCCTCTGCCTCTGCTCATTCTCAATCTTACTCTTCTCCCGACTCGCAGTCTCAAAATCCCCACTCCGTATCCCATCCGCAACCTTCTTCCAAAGCCTCCTACTCTCAAACTCATCTTTCTGACTTTCAACAGGTTGGACAGTCACTTCTTCCTTGGGCGTAGTAACGTTCGTAAATTCTTCTCCAGATTTGCTGTTTTTCGAAATAGCGTCCCATTGGCCTTCGAATACGTATAGCGGTGGAGGTGTACTGCCTGAGGAAGATAATTTCGGGTTCGTGACGGTCGCTTTGAAAGTATGTGCTTTCCCCGAAAAGTACCCTTTCCCAGAATACTCAATCGTAGACACGTACCCCGTACTCGAAACGATATACGAACTCTCCGAAAGTTCAATATACGGACTCGCCACTAACAACCCTGCAATCACAAGTCTCGGGAAGTTAATCAAATACCTCTCTTTTTCTCCTCCAGGTAAAGTAAGCGTAAGGACGGCATGACCGATTTGTTTGACGATGATACTGGCTCGGCTGAATGATGTCTTTTGCGCGTTATGCCCTTGTAACTCGATACCCTTTGATTTGTTTGTGATGTAGTATGCTGTGATAGGTGGGTGGTGTGAGACTTGTTCGACTACGAGGTCTGTACGGCCTCGACCGTTTTTGTCTGGCCAATAGCCGTAGAAGAGTTCGCCTAGCACGGGGTTTAAGGGTTTCTTTTCGGAACCCATGGATTCATTGCGGGTTGTGTATTGGCCTTTGAGCGTACTCTGATAGTTACGATCAACATCAATCAGCGGTAGCTTGGAAAAGAAAGACAGGGAAGACAGACGTACGATGAACCACTTGAGCACTCTAAGCGCTCTATCCTCAGGTGTCGGACCATCCGCAATATCCGCAAAGAGCTGAGGCCGTTCGCACCAATACGCTATTCACCATCACCGTCACCAACATCACCATCACCATCACCAAAATCAATATCAACCCCACCAAGACCGAGACCAAAACCAAGGCCAACAACGCGTCAATCCCCATGATATACAAACGAAGAAAAAAAGGATTTGAAGTAAGCAAAAAACACAGCCCCGATGAATCAAGACAAAAACAACAGAAGCTACGCACCAGGGAACTCCGTCAACGAAGTCGGAGAAAGGATGAACGGCGGAGCAGTAAGCGACGAGAGGTCACCCGTAAAGCTCGCAATCCTATCCCACATCCAAACCCACATCCACATCCAAATCAATATCAATATCGCACATCCGTATCCAACATCCGAAACAAATTAGCACGACACACATACTGAAGAGTATGCGGAGAGACATACGCTTTAAGGAAAGAAGTCCACGAAGACCGCTGACTAGCTGGGACACTAGGATCAATCTACAACAAAGGTAAAAACAGTAACATTGCCACGTCGTGGAATTACACGTTAGCGCTCTCCACATCCCTAACTAATGTCTCGAATTTGATTAAAACTGTGACGTACCTCTGTATCGTTCGACATCGCAGTAGTAATTGATAATTGGTATAGACGATGGGTATGTTAAGTAAGTTGGCTGTCTAACTTTGTCTTATTGCGATGAGATGAAGTGGAGATGAACTGAGAGAGAGTGAAGAAGGGAGAGAAGAAGAAAGTCGCGTGTTGGTGGAGTGTAACGCAGGCACACACCAAACCAGTGCAAGACTCAGACTCAGATCATCATATCGGTCTATTTGCGGTCGGACTGGTCGGGGACTCTTGGTGCCCGTGACATCATCAATTCATCCAATGATCCATCATTGGCATCAATTCTGGTAGCGCCCGTCCATGTCTTATTTTATATTTTAGAGTCACTCAAGGGAATGGAGTTTGTTTTTCACAGCATAACTTACTCTACATCTACATACAGCTCGAGATCATAATATAACTACCGAACGCGATAGACAGATTGTAATGACCTCGAACACAGCGGTTACAATAACATAGAGAAAAGTAGAGAAAAAGTTAGAGAAAAGGTAGCGAAGGAAATAAAACGAATCGAAAAAAAAAATCACATATTTTCACAAATAGTGAGACGCCAAAAAATTTAGAAAGCAGGGTTCGACGAGGCGAGGCAGTGCACCAGTCCGATCTGATGAACAACAACAATGTGTATATAAATACATATATATCACTCATCGTCTTCCTCATCGTCCTCCCCTGCGCTCTTCTTCTACAAGTTATAAGCACATGTCAGTTAGCGTGAAGGAGTCAATGCGCGCATACATGGAAGACAAACCTCGTAGTTCGCCTTCTCTTCCTCCGCGCGAGCTTTATCACGCGCAGCCTGTTCGATATAAGGCCTCTTCTCCGACTCGTCCATCTCTTTCCACTTCGCTCCTAGAAGTTTACCGACCTCGCCTATTCAAATCATATAAATTCAATCCAGTTCACACACACACATGTCGGAAATCAGAAATCAAAATTTTCGAACATTGAGGATGGAGAGACTCACCGAAGCCAGCGTCGGGGTTCTCAGCCTTGACACGTTCACGCCAGTCTTGGCTGAAGAACATGTACGCGGACAGAGCGCGTTTGGGCGCGTTTGGGTCCTTTTTGCCTTTGCCACGCGCGGGCTTGTCGGCAGCGCCAGCGGCAGCCTTGCGAGTCTTTCAACAAAACAACCCTCATCAATTTCCTGATTTTCACAACAAATGAGATAGACGTGGTGTACATACCTTCTTAGCAGTAGCTTCCTTAGGCATCTATTAAAAACCCAAAATAATAATAAAAGTGAAGTATGTCAGCCAATGTTTCTTAGTTGTTTAGTTAATCGGGATTCAGTTGGTATTGGTTGGAGTTTGTTTGTTTGGAGTGTGAATGGAGGGACGATATGACGCGTCATCATAGCCCCTGAGGACGAGTCGACGCAGAGGGGAAGACGATAGAGTCAACAAGTTCACCACAGACAGAAAGTTGAGCAAGGTGTTTGACGCGCGTCACGCGGACGCGTCTCCCTATACGCGCCACGACCCGCTATACGGCACTTTGGCTGTGAGTGGAACGCAGAGCGTCGACGAGCGCGTCCCCCAGCCCTCTCCCAACGCAAACAAATAAATACTAAAGCAAACGACACGTACGATTGAGTTGCGTAGTGAGACTGGACGGGAGAGGAGAGGGAGGGAAAAGATGTTTTGTTGGGTGGGTAGGTAGGTAGGGGAGCGTTAAGATAATATGGGTAATGGGAATTCTGTGGGCAGTTATCTGCGCGAGCAAGGCAGGGCTCTGCCCTCGCCCCCTCGATTCCCCTCTAACAACTTGCCCGCTCGGCTGTCTCCGGTGTCAAACATTCCCACGAGAGTGTCACGTGTGTGCATATAGTCACTGCCTCTCGCTTGTCGTTTCAAATAGCGAACGTCACCGTCTTCATTCAGTGCCAATTCGATGTTCAGGAAACCACTTGCAGATATAAAGACTTCAGGTACGATGCAATTTGTAGTGATGTCGCTGTGCATTGCTGATCTGTTCATCATCAGCGCCACTTAGAAACTCGGATCGTAAAAAGTTGAAGCAACGCGTTCTGCAGGATTATTTGGATCCCGCTCGAGTCGCCGAGGAACCAGAGCTTGGTGATTTGCTCGTACCAGATGGCCTGCTGTCCGTCAAGTTCACAACTCATAGTGGTGAATTGGGTGTAAGCCGAGACTCTACAGGAAAATTAAAAGTCGTTCTTAGAAGTCTATTTTGTACAGGTTGCATACCTCTCTGCTGATGGCGAACCCCTTTGGTTCTCCCTAGGCAAGGGAAGCAACGACTTGATTCCAACGGGTTCGTTCCCATCTTCTTTCGTCCAGCTCAGCACCTTACCAGCTATCACTTCTTCCAGTGTACACACTATGGAAGAAACCATGCCTTCTCCCACACCTCTCAACTCCCTCCGCCGTAATCCCAGTCCTGCAAAACGGAGCAGACTTAATGGCAGCCGGAGGTGCGCCCTCCTCCCCTCCTCTTTCCATCTCATGTAGTCATCCACCTGTGTCACTTACACACGCCACTTAGCAAGTTGTCGAGATGCCCAGCACGCCCGCCCTCGGACAACTCGTCTCCATCACACAATACACTAAAGGAGCGGTTGGCCCGCCACTTGCTGTCGGACGTATGGCGATGTCTGGAGAGAAAGTAAGGGAAGAAGACACAAAAGGGAAAGCAGTGTACGTGTTGCATGTGTGGAAGGATAAGCTATGGGAGATGGGTGGGCAGAGTGAGCCGCCTGAGCCGGAGGTTGTCTCTGAGGCTGTTTCCGTGGCTATGGAAGGTGGGAAGGGAGGAGGAGAAGCGGAGGAGATGGATGATGTAGAGGAGAAAGCTACGGGTGGAAGCGAACAAGTGAACAACGAGGAGGAGGAAGCTACTCCTCCTCCACCTTCCGAAGTAGAACCCGCTGCCGAAGAACAAGAAGGTGCAGCGCCTCCTCCGTTGAACCCACAAGGTACACCTTTCCTCCCTCCATTCCCTCAAACAAATAAACGAAGAGCTAATTTAATTTAATTGATCGCAGAGGTAACCTCCCTCCTCCGCACTTCCCTCATCCAAGCAATCTGCACCACACTCTCCACACTCCCATCCTCCACGTACCCTCTCCCCTCGACGACATTCTACACGCAACATATCCTCCCTGCCCGACCCGCACACATCCCCTCCTCCCAGACTCCAATAGACATCAAACACTCCACACACAAAAACCTCACTTCCTTCCTCCGTACCTGTGAGAAAGAAGGTCTTCTCAAGCTCAAAGAATCTCGTGGCGGGCGCCCTGGAAAGGGTGGTACCGCCGGAGATCCAGTCCAGATTCTCAGCATCAACATCAACCACGTAGACGTCCAAGCCCATCGCGTCTACCGCTCCATCAGGGAGGTAGAAGCGAGACGGGAGAGGAGAGAAGAGAGGGAGGCACAGGAGGCGAAGAAACCGAAAGAGATGATCGTGACGGAACTTTGGAAGCCTCATTTGGGGAGTGTGAGGGTATTTGAGAGCGTTGGGCAGGAGTATGTACTTTCCTCGTTTCTCACCTCCTTCTCTTCCTTCCTCGTTATGTATGCTAATATATTTTGGTACGAAAACAGTACCAAAGCCCTATACACTCTCCCCCAAATAAAAGAAACCATCAACTTATACGTCTCGACCAACTCACTCGTTAACGCTAATCAACAGCAGTTCGTTAACGTCGACGACCTCCTTCAGGATGTCCTATCTAGTAAAGGTGGAGGAGAAGTACCGGAATTCATGAAACGCGAAGAGTTAGCGAGGAGGTTATCTGAGAAGATGCAAGCTTGGTATCGGGTTGAGGTTGATGGGAAGGAGCCTGTCTTGAAGTGCGTATTTCGTACTCGTTCTTCTCTTTCCTCCTTTCCTTCATCCTGAGTTGCGTTATTGAATACTAATGTATATGGGAAACACAGAAAAGGCACCCTCCACCCAATCTCAATCACGATCAAAATCCGACAAGGTCGTAAAGCATGTACACTCCTCACGCACTTCGAGCCGTTCCTTCTCTCCGCTGATACTCTCGCTGAAGAGCTTCGCCATCTTTGTGCGAGTGCCACGTCTGTTAACCCCCTTCCTGGAGGTGCAAAAGGAGGAGGGATGGAAGTGATGATACAAGGCCGACAAACGAAGATTGTGAAGGAGTTGTTAATTGGGAAAGGTGTACCGGCCAAGTGGATTGAGGAGAGTGATTTGACTGTGGGGAAGAAGAAATAAGTATCCAAGAAGATTAGAGATTTTTACTTGTGTATGGTGGTGTTTGAGGTAAGGAAGATAGAGATAGAGTAGAGTACTAGTAGGATGTATGTTATCGCATTTTCTTGATATGTGGGTGCAGTACAAGGATTAGGAAACAAGGTCGAGGTAGAGGTAGAGGTAGAAATAAGGATAACGAAATGCATATCAAGAAAGTACGGAAGAAAATCAAGAGTGCTCAGAGAAGGACAGGGTAGTGCACATAATGCACATAATGCACGATATTAACAAGCATCGATCCATACACAGATTTCGTGAAGAGGTTATTTACCCCTCCCCCTCGCATGTCTGTCGAGCTTTTCAAGTACGGCGGATTGTTCTTCCGAGGTCATAGCACCACTAAAATAAATCCACCATGAGCGACCACAGCAGCGCAAATGAAAGCAGGAAGAAGAACTAAAGAAAGACGTACAATTTCGTAGCAAACGCAGGCAACTCTTTCGCACTCCCGATCAACCCAGTTTCGATGAGCGCTTTCTGTCTTGATCGAAGTCTAACAAAAAATCCATCCGTCCGTCAGTACTCAGCACTCCGCACTTCACACCAGATGAAAAGAGGTAGAGAGCGAGGACGTACTTCGATCTAGGCGACAAAGGCTGTTGGTGATGACTTCTTCTCGGAGGCCACTCCGGTACGGGCGGCGATGGTGAATTGTGATTGCCTCTCCGTCGGGAGGTCGATTGACGACGTTGTTGACTACTGCTACCACGTTCTCGGGAGGAGTCTTCGGCTGCTTTGCGTTTTCGGAGTTTCTAGAATGGATAAGGATATCAGCAAGTATTCGAACGCAAAAGACATTCGACAAGGTAAGAACCTTTAAAGATTCAGCCAAGGACACTTCCTCAACCCGACTTGGTCGTAATAGGTCCTCATTCTGGTGAGTGTATTTAATACTACCCGCTGCTAGGATTCGTTGGATCTCGTTGATCCTTTCACCTCTCTCCTCGGCAGGTACACCTGTATCGGTAATATATTAAATAAGGATGGATCGATTAAGTGTCAGAATAGGCGTACCGTCGTCAAATAGTAGAGTCGCGAGACCTCGTAGGTCAGCCTACAAAATATTAAATAACACAAAGTGTTTCAGTTTGAATTGAAAGTAGAAATAAGAACAACATACATCCTCGTGACCTTGATTCCTTGCCTCGGCTTCCAGAGCCTCCTTCGAGTCACCGAGAGAAGCTCTCGCTTTCCCTTTCTTGTTACCTTCCATGTGCGCGAGAGCCCAGTCAAACTCTGCCAGATGAGCCCTCTCAATCTATCGAATGCATACCAAGAGTAAGTTCGAAACTAGGGGGAGAAGGAAAGACAGGTCCTCACAGCCATCTTTGTTGCCAACGTATTTTCATGCAACCTAAATAAGTTGTCTGCGCCGAATAACTCGCCTCGTCGTTTCGTGTCACCCTGTACTCCCTCAAAATATCTGAAGGCGGACATAGTTTGTAAACTTTCGTTCTCATCTCTGATTTAGGATTATGCTGCGCACCTCGTCTGATGACTTGCTTCATACCCAATCTTCATCATCTGTTGTTTATACACTTGTCTCGCGTAAATGAGTTCCTCGATAGACCCTGCACCGAGAAGGCGATACACATAGACGTCGCGAGTTTGTCCAAATCGATACGCGCGATCCATAGCCTGGAGGTCATGAGCCGGATCTAGAATGCAGTTCAGCATGAATATGTGAAACAAAATTTTCAACGTACTCCAGTTTGGATCTGCACGCATACAGTCAGTGATGGATATGACAGGATCCGAGATTAGGACATACCAAAGATTACGACTTTATTCGCACTCGTCAAGTTCAGTCCAGTCCCACCAGCCAACGTTGAAATCAAGAAAATGAAAATCTCAGGATCGTTATTAAATTTGTCGATCAAAGGCATCCCTGTAGTACGTGTTTGATTCAGTACGAATCAACATACTTCATACGACTTACGTTCATTCTGCTTTGTTGACCCATCTAGCCTACAGAAGCTATAACCTTTTGAAATCGCCAATAAGTCGAGAATTTCGGTGCGAAAGAGGTTTCATTCATAGCTCACTGTTACTATTTAGATGATAATCTAACATATCCAAAAGCTTGACAGATTTCGTAAAAATCAAGACTTTGTTTGTACGGTCTTTCTGCCATTCCTTGAGTAGGAGATTGAGAACCTAGATCATTCGATTAGCATAATTCTCCGGACTGTCCCTAGAACGCTTACGTCCCACTTCCCGCAAAATTGCGGAAGTAATATCGCTGGCCCATATTTTGGAATAGTGTCACTCTGAAAGGCGATCCTGGAGATTTCACGATTTCGTTTTGTCTAAAGAGTAATAACGAATTAAAATCTGGGAAATTAAAGGCAAAAGTCTGGCTGACCTGTTCTTCCGTATCGTTGGGAGCTGATGGAAAAAAGGATAAACAACATCGGCGAAAGGATGTGAACGGAGCTCACATGGAAGGATCAAGGCAAGATGGTTTGATATCTTGAGTAAGATCGTAAGATATGTAAAGAAATGTACAGATTCCATGACATGGCAGCATTTTCCGCGTCTGAACACAAGGCCGTTCAACACTGTTGTCATTTCCGCTGAGTCATTCATGCACTCACGGTAAACCAGAACCACAGTCGCATGGTACAGTATCAGGAAGAGGAGAGGTACTGTTGGCTTTCATTCGCTTTTCGCGATGGGCCAGAATGCGCTTGTAAACGGTGATTTGCTGTGGGGTAAGAGGACAGAAGACTACTTCGTCGATTTTTTGAGGAAGCTGTGAAAGGATTCAGAGACCGCGGGGGGTGGGGGCAGGACGAGAAAATTCCAGCTACCTGGTTGCGAATTAAGTCCTTCGTTCTAAAATGCTCTCAGCGGGGTTCGGCGAAGGAAATATGGGTGTGCATACCGCCGCAAAAAGAAATTCGGTAATAGTTTCGTTACAAGGATATGCGCAACGGCCTGAATAAAAACAAGATGAGCGGGAACAACGGAGCTCATCGCAGACTCATACTTTCGCAACGGTCCTCTCCGCCTCACTAGCACTCGCACTTTGTCCAACCGCCAGTGGTCTTGAAACAGCGGCTCGCCAGTCTTTCAGAGACCCTAATCTGCCTCGGTTTGACCAGTCAAGAAGCGTCCACATTTCATCGTACGCATTCTGGATCGCAGTCCCGGTAAGGCCGAATCGGGCTTCGCATGTGAACTGGTTGAATGCTAAAGTGATTTTCGAGGCTGGGTTCTTTAGCTTATGCGCCTCGTCGACGAAGATTACCGACCAAGGAAGATAGGAAAGAAGGTCGATATCCCCGCGAGCAGTATCAAACGAAGCTATCACTATGATATCATAAATATTTCTCGAAAAATGCGACAGGCGTGTCAAACACAGATTTACTTACAGACGTCAAGTCTACCCAACGTGAAATCCCTGAGCGCCTCCCTGCGCTGCTCTGGAGGACCGTTGTACATCCCGATCTCGAAGTAACCCCACTAAATAAACCGGGGCACGTCCTTGAGTATTGTATCTTAATAGTGAATGTCTTGAAACAAACCGTTCCAAATTCACGTTGCCAATTATGTGTGACTGAACTCGGCGCAATAATCAAACATGTTGGCCAAGTTGCATTAGCGGGTGGCAAACGTCGGTGTTCCCGCCATTCTTGACCATCTTGAAGGCGTGATACGTGTTTCCGGCGCCTGTGGACGTCTCGTCTGTCATTGTATTTGTCCATGATGGCTGTCAAGAATGAGATCACTTGGATCGTTTTGCCCTATTAGATTACCTGGACTATTAATAGAATAATTCTAGAGATTCAAGTGGAGAAATTACCAAGCCCATATCATCTCCGAGTACACCTCCCCTCCCTTCCTTGTAACGATCGTAGAGGAATTGTACTCCTTCTCGCTGATACTCGCGGAGGAAGACATTGATATGTGCAGGGATCTTGATGTCCTTTTCTGCATCCAGCACATAAGGAGCAAGTACCTGAGAACTGTCTCTCGAGAAAGACGGACGTGGTTCCAATAACTCAATTTATAATAAGGCTACATTCCAGTAATATCTTCAAACCGCTTACAAAAGGATCGTCAAGTTCGAAATCGTCATCCGATTCTGTGTCAGAACCCGTCGAAGCTATCAGTTCCTGTGGTTGATTCCCATTTCCCGACTCCTTCAGAGAGGAGAAGGAAGAATCTAATCCGTCTTCTGCCTGAGAGTCTGGCTCTGTCACAGAATCTTCATCTTTAACGAGCAAAGTGTTCAAGTCTAATGTAGTCAATAGGGAAAGTCCACTCACCATCCACTGCTTGCTTGGTTAGCGGTTTAGACACAGAGGCTCTGGAATCCGAATCTGATTTAAATTATCGCAGTAAGAATGCGATATGATATCATCGCGCAGTGCTTTACCTGCAGCTGAGGCAGCTCCAGCATTGGCAGAAATTGACTTGTGTCTCCGTCCCGCATTACTCGACGGGGTTTCTTCCTCGGACTGACTGGCAATGGAGTACTCTTCTTCGTCTTCTTCGTCTTCTTCATCTTCATGCTCGCTTTCACTGCTAGAACCTTTTACAACATTTTGCAACACTAGAAGATTCGCATTAGCCTTGAACATTGAAATTGTAGAGTATTAATACTTGGTCCAAAGAATTGAGCCAGTATGTTCTGTGACACAGGTGGAGCTTCAATTTCTAATGAACCACGTCATTTAACGTCAATCATTACATCTGCGATTTACGCCTTAATGTGCATGCCTTGTTGATCCTTGGTCGTTGTAGCTTGCTGGGTGCTTCGTTGAGCTTTACGGCGTCCGCTGGTGTCTGCTTTTCTTCTGCCTCTGCCTCTCCTTGGTTTTCTTTCATATACATAAGGGGCATTATTTACGAATTCTGGATCAGACTCTTCAGAGTCTATGTAAGTTGAATTAGTTGAAAACGCCTTGTTCTTGACCGGACCAGTCTTGAGATTTGTCTCACCCATTGTGCTTGAGGTTCGCAAGGAGGGCATATAGTCGAAGGTATCATACGTTATTAGGGTGCAATAATGTACAGCGGGCGAGCAAATGCTCTTGTGTGGTTCAGGTTGTGGTACAAGTTATAGTGGCTGAACTGACGTTTAGCTTTGAAGCATCTTGCACGCGTCGATCCTCACGTGATGGCGCATCTATCATGAACTCAGAACTCGCCGAAATTTGGCCTGTTACCAAGACGAGCTTGCTTTCTCCATTTTTTCCTAGATACATTATGCTTTGAGCTGTTGTTAAAGATATTATCAGGATTCTGAGGTGCCAATAAGGGAAATGGGCGTTAGTATGGAGCTGGACGAGCAGGTTCGCGGCGAAGACGATTGGGACCATGGAACAAACTGGCAAGGCCTCGGACTCACTGATCCCATCAAGAGAGTTGAGGTGCGTGAGGTTACTCAAGGAACAATTGGATTTGATATAACGTTGAATCTACACAGGACAAGTGGCTCCTTCTTCCGGCGTTCCTGAAGGTCAAGGGACTCGTCAAGCAGCACCTTGACTCATTCAACTATTTCGTGGACGTCGATATTAAGAACATCGTCAAAGCAAATAACAAAGTCACTTCCGATGTAGATCCACGATTCTGGCTCAAATATACCGATATCCAAGTCGGTTTCCCTGATCGGACGGACGTCGATGCGGTAGACCGGAGCGTTACTCCCCACGAATGTCGTTTACGCGATACGACTTACAGTGCACCCATTCTCGTTACGATCCAATATACTCGTGGAAAACAAGTTGTGCTACGGAAGAATGTGAACATCGGCAGATTGCCTATTATGCTTCGTAGCAACAAATGCGTCTTGACCGGGAGGACAGAAGCTCAACTTGCGCGAATGACGGAGTGTCCTTTGGATCCGGGTGGTTATTTCGTAGTGAAAGGTACCGAGAAGGTTATCTTGGTGCAGGAACAATTGAGCAAAAACCGTATCATTGTCGAACACGATCCGGTTAAAGGCGTTGTTCAGGCTTCTTGTACATCGTAAGCACGTCTACCTAGATAGAAAGATGAACTATGTTGACGACAAATTCAGTTCGACTCATGGAGGACTTAAATCAAAGACTTATGTTGCGACGAAGAAAGAGAGGCTCTACTTGCGCCATAATTGCTTCCACGAAGATATTCCAATCGTTATTGCACTAAAAGCACTCAGCATACAATCTGACAAGGAGATCTTACTTCTCACTGCTGGTAATACGGAAGCGTACAAATCTACCTTCTCTCCAAACCTGGAGGAAGCAGCAAAAATTGGCGTTTTCACAAAGCATCAAGCTCTTGAATACATCGGAAGTCGCGTCAAGGTAAACCGTCGTGTTATCGGACCACGTCGGCCCGCTTGGGAAGAAGCAATGGAAGCACTGGCAACTATCGTCCTCGCACACGTTCCAGTAAACAATTTGGATTTCCGGCCAAAAGCGATTTTCATCGCGACAATGACACGTCGTGTGCTTATGTGTCTGGCTGATGAGAAGATGGTGGATGATCGAGACTATGTCGGGAATAAACGACTTGAGCTAGCGGGCCAACTACTCGCGCTCCTCTTTGAAGACTTGTTCAAGACATTCAACACCAATCTCAAGTCTGCGATTGACAAAGTCCTGAAGAAGCCGTCGCGGACCTCTGAGTTTGATGCATTCAATACAATGCAGTTTCAAGGCGATCACATCACGGCAGGATTTGTGCGCGCAATCTCGACGGGTAACTGGTCGCTCAAGCGTTTCAAGATGGAACGAGCGGGAGTTACACATGTTTTGAGTCGACTGAGCTACATCAGTGCACTTGGCATGATGACACGTATATCATCGCAGTTCGAAAAGACGCGAAAAGTTAGTGGTCCACGTGCTCTACAGCCAAGTCAATGGGGTATGCTTTGCCCGAGTGATACACCGGAAGGAGAGGCATGTGGCTTGGTGAAGAACTTAGCTTTGATGACGCATATTACCACTGATGTCGAAGAAGAACCACTGATTCGTCTTGTACACGCTTTGGGAGTTGAAGGTATTCTCATGCCCCGTGTTAATAATTAGGCTTATTCTAATATTCGTTCCAGATATTTGCCTCGCGACCGGTGCGGAGATCTATGGACAAAACTCATTCGTCGTTCACGTTAATGGCGCAATTATCGGTATCACGCGTTACCCGTCTCGTTTCGTACAGAACTTCCGCCGATTACGTCGAGCCGGCCGATTCAGCGAGTTTGTCAGTATTTACATTAATCACCACCACAAAGCCGTGTACATTGCCAGTGATGGTGGACGTATCTGCCGTCCAATGATTATCGTTGAAAACTCCCGACCAAAAGTTACTAGTCAACACATAATCGTATGTGCTCCTCCGTTCCGCAACTGCGTACTCGTATTGACCCGAATGATATTCTGTAGGACTTGAAAAAGCAGCTACTCACCTTTGACGACTTCTTACGACGAGGCCTCGTTGAATACCTTGATGTAAACGAGGAAAATGATTCTTACATTGCCCTATACGAAGATATGATTGTACCAACGACAACGCATCTCGAGATCGAACCCTTCACCATCCTCGGTGCCGTTGCTGGCCTCATTCCTTATCCTCATCACAATCAATCGCCACGAAATACGTATCAATGTGCCATGGGAAAGCAGGCTATAGGCGCCATTGCATACAATCAACTCAACCGTATCGACACTCTTTTATACCTTATGGTGTATCCACAACAACCGATGGTCAAGACTAAATCAATTGAGCTAGTGGGATACGATAAGCTTCCTGCCGGTCAAAATGCCACCGTTGCGGTGATGAGTTATTCGGGATATGATATCGAAGATGCGTTGATTCTTAACAAGGTAAGTGTTCCTTCCATTTCGGAATATGGCCTCATTGACATTGCCCGTTAGGCAAGCTTAGATCGTGGATATGGACGATGTCAAGTGATGCGCAAGAACGCTACTCTTATACGCAAGTATCCGAATGGAACGTACGTCCTTCGTGCTTAATCCTTCCACCTTGCACCGCTCATATTGTTTTATTTAGTTATGACCGTCTTGCCGATGCACCCCTGGACGAGAACGGTCGAGTCCAAAAGAAATACGACATCATCCAATCCGATGGCCTCGCAGGAGTCGGCGAACGAGTCGACCCAGGGGACGTCTACGTCAACAAACAAACACCGTCTAACGCAAACGATAACACCTTCACAGGGCAAGCCGCAGGTGTCGCTTACAAGAACACACCGATGACGTATAAGTCGCCTGTCCCAGGTAACATTGACAAGGTGATGCTTACGGATACGGAGAACGACCAGACGCTTGTGAAGGTTCTCATCCGACAGACGCGGAGACCAGAACTTGGGGATAAGTTCTCGTCTAGGCACGGGCAGAAGGGTGTTTGTGGACTGATCGTGAATCAGGAGGACATGCCGTTTAATGATGATGGGATATCACCTGGTGAGCCTCCTATATTTTACGGTACTAGCTATGATTAAGCAATTTGATGGAAGATTCGATTATGAACCCACATGGATTCCCATCTCGTATGACGGTTGGGAAGATGATTGAATTATTGGCCGGTAAAGTAAGCCATGGATTGTTTGTTCTCGTAGGACCGTTAATTCACCGGTTTTGCGTACTATAGGCTGGCGTTCTTGACGGAAAGCTACAATATGGGACCGCATTCGGAGGTTCGAAAGTACGTTTATTTCATTGCCAATCATTTTGCGGTGATCCTACATTATCCAGGTCGAAGACATGTCAAAAATCCTCATCGAGAGGGGGTTTAATTACGCTGGGAAGGATATGTTGACCAGTGGCATAACCGGAGAGCAGATGGAGGCATACGTATATTTCGGGCCTATCTATTACCAAGTGAGTCAGTCATATTTGTATGTGTCTTTTTGAAAGACGACTAATATCAATTCTTGTCCATAGAAACTAAAACATATGGTCATGGACAAGATGCACGCTCGAGCACGGTATGTCTTATCCCTTCCACTTTGACTCCCTTTCTCAATTTCACTCAATTTACAGTGGACCCCGAGCAACTCTCACACGTCAACCCACGGAAGGTCGCTCCCGCGAAGGTGGGCTTCGCCTAGGTGAGATGGAGCGTGATTGTCTCATTGGATACGGCGCCACGCAACTTCTTCTCGAGCGGCTCATGCTTTCCTCCGACAAGTTCGAGGTACATGCATGTGAGATGTGCGGGTTGATGGGGTACAATGGGTGGTGTCCATATTGTAAGAGCTCGAAAGGGATGGCGAAGTTAGTCATCCCATACGCTGCGAAGCTGTTGTTCCAGGAGGTGAGGATCTTTTTAAGTTTCGCACAAGTTTAGTAAAAGAGGGACTCATGAAATCTTCACTGATTCTTCGTAGTTGATGGCGATGAACGTTGTCCCGCGCCTTATACTCGATGATGCCTCGTAGCTTTCAGAGCCTTCTAGTTTTACTGCTAGGTAACGCTTGCAGTGGCCTGACAGGATCAATCACTAGACAAGCAGCAACAGGGAGCGAAGCTGTACGGAGCGGAAATCTTTAAGTCCCGAGTTTTGAAGATGCCTTCCTAATGAACAACGCGGAAGGCAAGTCCATGAGCAAGTTGCCGATTTGATATCCTAACGCAGTTTGGAGAAGTTGGTTGCATGGGAGGCATTGTGTTGAGGTGATATCTTTTAGATCAACAATGTATGATCTGCAGCTTTGTAGCGATGCGGCATCAGATGTACACTTCCTGTGTTCCTGAACAGAGATAAAATCTGTTCTATCCCTAGTGACAACGTATCTATCTAACACGACAACCACAATGATCAGATGCCTCTTGTTATTTTTGTGCTCTCAACAAACCACTGGTCTCCATTCACCTCAGTTCCACATCAGTGTTCAATGCCTTCGAGATCTATTCTTGGAAGTTTAGATAAAGTTTGATATCAGTTTTCATCGTTGTTTACAGAGGATATCGTATAAGAGAAGCTCAAAACTCTTTTGTCTGAATGCTCACAATGGCGAATCAGTCCCTCGACTATAGGCATTTCAACATTCCTCACACCCGTTCTACCAATGAAGACATCGATCCGATGTTTGTGCCATTGCTTGTCTCTGAAGTCTACATTGCAAAATGCATTGATGTGGCAATGTTGACTGTCTTTGTCTACAATGCTCGTAGGTACTGTAATTTACTGTACCATTAATTTGCTAACTACAGAACAATCAAGTCATAAACATGGATAAAGAAGTACAGTCTTGTACTTAATACTCCCTCTCTTCGCTGCTTACTGTCTCGAATATCTTAGATGAAATACTTCTGGGTAAGCCTGATATTCTAACTCAAAGGACCTTGTCCCATTGATAGCTGTGAAGCACAAACCATGCACACACATAAGCCTCACGTATTTTGTGGTAAGCCTCGACATTATATTATTCTGAGCAGTTGAATGTAGCATTGAAGTCTAGAATCACTATGTTGGACTTCTTGGGATAATTTGTGACATCATATGTGAGTAATTCGGTCTTAAAACGCATCATGCCTGCTTCGAGAACTGACGTGAGTTCATCATATCAGATCAGGGCTCCGATATGACTATCCTTATGTAGGAGGCAAACAGTGTTAACTATGAGTATGTGCTGACATCGAACACAAATTCAATTAACCACAGCTGTATGTTGCATCTCCTAATAATTTATACTTGATACTGAATAGGTAATAAGGCTGGTTGACTGTATGGACTGAATATATAAGTGGTAAGTTGACTATTAGCAGCTAGTACTAATAAACTCATTTAATCCATTTATTAGGTTTGATCACTGTTGTGGTCATAGATTGTAAGCAAAGGCTCATGTCATTCAAAGAGCAATTGCACAAATACAACCACTGCTTAGACATTATCCAAATCCGTGTCTTAGCACTTTATCATAAAAGTAAGTGTATACTGTATTAGACTGTAACTGACGTTAACGGAATTTAAAAAAGACAAGCAACTTTCAACTTTTCTCAAGGTGTTACTTGCTGTAGAAGCAGGAATGGGAACTGGCATCATTATTTATGCTGACGTGTTTCAAGATTGTAAGTTTATCAGGTTCTGTCTGCTATTGAATGATTGATTGGTACTTATATAATTCAGTTGTAGTTCTGCATCTTGCACCAAGTGCCAACATATGTGCATCTAACAATACATTTCCACAAACATTATATATCATCCTATGGTATGTACCACTTCTGCGAACAAGACTTTGACTCATTCGAAGTAGGGTTATTCCCTTAACATATGGAGCAACCTTACTATGCTTGGCTCTCTTTAAGAGTGTAGAATATTGGAGAATTTCATTTAGATTGAAAGGATCCTACCTTGTTAAAGTCCTCATTGAAGATCAGATCCTGTATTACAGCTTGTAAGTCGGAACATTCCACAGAATACGTTCCAAGCTAATTAATATAGTGTAATATTCTGTTCTGTTGTACAGATAGTGAGTATAGGGAATGCCAGCCCCTTTGTTTCTGTCCTCCTTAGTGCTGCTGGAAGTCCGACACTTTTATGTGTCCTTGGAGGCCACCTTCTAATCAATCTGAAGGAGGCAGGCGAGATGGGAGTGAACAGGGGAACTGGTTATAGATCCAGGAGTATGAGTAACATTGAATTCACTGAAGGTATACCTACTTTCACTTCTCCATTGCACCTCCGTCTAATTAGTGCTCCGCACTGTAGCGTAATTTACGGATACGCCTGCAGCGTATACGCTTACGCACCGTATCGTAAGAGAAAATTTTAGCTGAAAATACGGGCGTATATTTACACGCGTATGCGTATACCATAAGTAAAAAAATTCCGTATACGCCGTATACGAGTATACGGTATTACTAAGCATATTCTCTAATTAAATACTAAGTTTGAGTTTCTAAACCTCATTTACTTTACTTATTTATATACCAAATCATTTTAATACTATATAACAACCTTGTTTAACTTAAAAAGTACTAGTATGAG